TAATGAACAACTGTGATTTCTGTGCAAATATTCATAGTCCAATGAGTTATCTCGCGAACTATTGTGGCTAAACACAATTATAGGTAAGATTCAATTATCACAGCGGAAAATTACAAATAAGGAATCAAACTGAAATTCAGGGTTTTACGATATATGAAGGAATACTTAGAACTTTATAAGAAAGGATGCAGAATAGTGTACATCTCACAACTAAAACTAAAACTAAAACGGTTTTCAAAATTTGTAATTCCAATCATTACTATCTTGATAATTAGACGGGCGATCGGCTTGTATAAGTCATGGAGTTCCTGACTGACCTAAAGGTTTATAATTATCATTGCAGCATGAGCTAAATCAAGGATTATTTCTAAGAATCTAAGACAAAGTTACCCGGCCCTTCAACTTAAATTTATCTAATAGAATACATGGACATATAAAAGCAATCCAACCGAAGTAATAACCAATGAACCGGCCTATACTTTTCTACTAACCTACTTATGCGTATTTTCATTGTCTTTTTAATGTAGTTTTCAATAAATATATGCTTCTACATTTACTGATATTAACATTTGAAATACATCGATAAATAATATAGTATAAAATATCAGTTACAGGCCAAATCGTGTATTTCATCTCAGTACGTTCAAGTATTCTGATAGCAAACTTATCTCCATCTTTATCTCGTTTGTTTTATGATAATTTTACCATATACGCGTAACCTATAAACATTAGATATTAATCTTGAAATCAAATCGGTTTAATGTGTTTGGTTGTTGTGATATGGCTGATCAAGGTTCTCAAAAGAAGAATCGTGATGAATTTCTATTTCATTTCAAGATTCAATTTGTGGATAGTGCGCTCATGTACTATAATTAAATTCAAGTTACGAGATTTGTGATTTGTGTGATTTGTCTTTGTGATTATTTAATATTGCATACAATTTTCCACTCCAGGAATTTGCAAGTCCCCTCTTTTTACACAAATATTTCGAATACCCTCACCTTTGTATGGACAAGATGCTTTTAAAACTTAAGCGGGACTGCACTACTTGTGGCTACTTGTTCCCTCTATGCAGCAACAATGCCTAAGTGGTACCCTTTGGATCCCCATGTTTCCTTTTTCTACTGTTAATTGAGAGCTGATTTGGTGAGATAACTTCCTGCTAGTGACCGTGAAGGGAGGTCTAATCCCTATGCCCATATTAGTGCAGATAGGCTTTAAGATATTTTTTTAAACTCAAAGATTCGATTATAATCAATTTTGATCATAACTCTATAAGCAAATAAATGGAAATATTGACAACGGAATCTTTTCAAGCTTCCCCTGAAGCAATATTCTAAGATAATTCTCTGGATTTCTATGTTCTATGGAATTATTGTTGTCTTGAGCAGTAAGATGCAATAAGATCTCGTACCACCATAATCCTTTCCAAAGCTTTGCAAAGTTAGAAAATACTGCATGCGCCATGTTAGAAATGTATTTAGAAAGAAAAACAAATCATGTGAGAAAATGGTGGGAGGCGATGTACAAAAAAAAAACTAACAGAAAACAAAAATAGACAAATAGATAAATAAGAATTTAAAACACAAAGACATGAATTGTCACTTTCGAATAATAATATGAGACACCTAGTGCTTATTGATGCTTCCTGTTCCTGCAAACGAGAGTGGGGGGGGGATAAACCATTTATATGGTTTAGCTGGAGTGGATTATGTATGTTATATGTCCTCAATATTGTATATATTGTATATATGTATATGTATATTAGTGCAGATAGGCTTTAAGATATTTTTTTAAACTCAAAGATTCGATTATAATCAAAATTTTGATCATAACTCTATAAGCAAATAAATGGAAATATTGACCAACGGAATCTTTTCAGCTTCCCCTGAAGCAATATTCTAAGATAATTCTCTGGATTTCTATGTTCTATGGAATTATTGTTGTCTTGAGCAGTAAGATGCAATAAGATCTCGTACACCACCATAATCCTTCCAAAGCTTTGCAAAGTTAGAAATACTACTGCATGCGCCATGTTAGAAATGTATTTAGAAAGAAAACAAATCATGTGAGAAAATGGTGGGAGGGATGTACAAAAAAAAAACTAACAGAAAACAAAATAGACAAATAGATAAATAAGAATTTTAAAACACATACATGAAATGTCACTTTCGATAATAATATGAGACACCTAGTGCTTATTGATGCTTCCTTTTCCTGCAAACGAGAGTGGGGGGGGGGGGGTAAACCATTTATATGGTTTAGCTGGAGTATATATGTGTATATGTCCTCAATATTGTATATATTGTATATGTATATGTGTAGTAATTTGGGCAAGTAAAGCCCCCACAGTCTGATTTAGAGTGCAGAGGTTGAGAAAGTTCTGCGTTGTGATCGTTGTTTAGATGCCTGATATTGACTGGTAAATTGTTTAAAAACGATTATTTGATTATTGTCAGAAGTAAACAGATATATCAAGAATTATTAGTGAGAGGCGTAGTGGTCTAGGGGATAAGTCACCAGGTATCACCAGAAATCACATGGTACGGACCCCGAAATTGCCAATATTTACACAGCTGAACATTCAGCCTTAATGAGGGTAATTAGGCTGATTAAATCCAAAGTTGTTTGGACGCGCATGGAGACATTGTTAAATATGTAATATGTGCTATACAACAACTGTGTATAGTTATTATTAGTAGTAGTATTGAAAGTCTATGATGACTTATGTGAATATTATCTCCCGTAGCTGTACAGACTGATCCTGTTAGTACCATCACAGGTGGACCCATGACACCCTCTTGAGCAAAATTCGTGTTTAGACAAAACTATACTTGTAGATAAACAACCCGATAACAAACCCATGATAAAGTTCGAATCTTACAAAATGAAAATAAGGCAGTGAATGAAATGACTTTGAACCTCAGAGTTGCAAGATAAAAGTATAGTGTGTTATCACCATTTTTAAGTAAACTTGATTTTAGTGGTGGGTTGATTAGTCCCTGGTTCGGTGGCACAGATACATCCGGAAATTGGCCCCTCCAAGAACAGACTTTTGGCTATTTTCTTAAATCCCAAGTTCCGTTCTCGGTAGTGGGTACATCTTTTCTACTTCTTCTCGGGTTAACACCTCCTTTACTCGGCGAAAGTTCAGGCGATATTCGTCGATAATAGGACTATAGTTTTACTACCATTGGTTGGTGGTAATAGATAGCTGTCGTACATTCGGAAGGTGATGTGTTTGCTATCCTATTCAAGATGATTCTCAGATTACTTTTACTCGCTGCTGTCACAGTGCAAGGTAAGTTCTTGGTACACGTTGCGCCCACATATTGCTTATTCGCCTATGAACTACTTGGGATTGTGGAAGTTTTTAGAAGACACATGTAGTTGGAAAGTGTTATGAATCTTTCTAATGTTGTATATTACCTATATAGAAGAAAAATGCGTAATTAAACATGGCTGTTGTAAAATAGACAAAGCATTCTTGTATTATTTATCTACACATTGGCTATGATGGCATATATTCTTCTCATTATGAAAACAGAGAACATAACAAAGAACACAATAGAAGTGTAGCAGGTTATTCAGGGGGCAACACGCCCCTCGTCAAAGAGTTGTATTCATAGTTTGATACACATTGTATAACCACGCGCCCCCATATAAATTTGATAACCCTTTTACATGTTTGTCGGGGATTTTAGAGGTAGTCATTCTTGTAAAAAAAAAAAGTAAAAACATCTTTTTGTTTCCCTTCTCCATATTTGGACATTAAAGTAAAAAAAAAAGGGCAAAAAGTCTGCATGGATCAACCAGGGCACTAAATCCTAACATTTAAAAGTCATATAGTTTTAAATGTTTAGGGGTGGAAATTGATGAACACCTTACTTGGGATATTATTGTTAAAAGACTTACCAGATTGATTTCTATGAAACTGTTCTCATTACGTAATATGTCCCAATATTTAGATGTTAAATCCTTAAAGCTCACGTATAATACAATTATTTTACCATGTATTGACTATTCATGCACAACCTGGGGAGATTGCTCAAGGCAAAATAAAGAGTTACTCGTACGGTTACAAAAGAGAGCAGCACGTATAATTACATCCAACTATGACTTTGAAAATGTTAGAGGTGATGATTTAATAACAATTAATGAAATGGCAAACATTTGAAGAAAGGAGAAATTATTTTTTTTAGCTGTTTATAACTTAAATACTAGAGCCGCTGACAAAACAAATGTTTGTATTCTACCATGTATGTATATACAGGACCAATATGAAAAACAGCCTTGGTTGATATTGTCATCCTGTATAAATATTTGTAAATAAATAAATAAATAAATAATGTGTCTTTCCAATTACTTGAAAAATAAACCACTGAGATGATGATTTTCACTTCAAGAATGAGATTCTGTATTGAATTATTTCCTCTTATTAAAGGTACTATGTCCCTTTTGCAGCCAACCTCAAATTCTGTAGAACTTTGCAGGAATTATGAATATATCATGTATGTCCTATCTGTGAAATAAACGTTAGCAGTGTCCTAATATTCAAATTATGCAAGGAAACCCTTTTACTTGCTAGACTTCACTGTGAGACACTATTGAGTGACTGATTGGCTGGCTTTTTCTTCTTTGGTAATAACATACATGAAATGAGCTGTAAAGGGTACATTATCATTTGTCTACATCAATAACCCACTTCTTGTGATGGCCAAAATTAAACTGATTGAATCTTTGCGCACCTTAAACGTATGACCATTCGGTACAATGGTCTGAAAATCAAGACTATTACTTATTGGCTCTATAGCTCCTAAGTCGATTTGACAACTAATAGTCATTATTTTCCCACTTGAAGACATTTTCAAGCCCCATCTTTTTTAGGGAAGTTCTAAATTAGTATCATCTTTCAAATGCCGTTGGAATTTAACCTTTTCATTTTTTTGGCCTGCGAATGGGACATAGTACCTTTAAAATAAAACCTGAGAAGAATTCATAATCGCACAAAAACATAAATTGAGTGTTGAAATATTTATTAACACTTAAGAAAAAGAAGGAAATCAAATATCTCTATCATGTGACGCTATATTTGTGCCATAATGAGTGTATCAAATGTTTTCATTTAAAAGAAGTGTCTGCAAAATAAAAGTTAGATTATTTGTAAATCTAGGAAATGTTAATAAGCAAATAGTATATTAGATGTTATTTTGATTTTATTGATATCGTATGCTAGTTTTGCAGTCACTTCACTATGATTATGATTGCCTTTTATTTAATCGGTTTATACCCTCAGGGGCGTATCCAAGTCATGAAATTTGAGGGTAATTCCCCCCATCACTTTGGAGGATTCTTTACTAAATCTAGCCTTGAAGGCGACATAGTTCTTTGGGTTGCTCGACTCATGCTCCTGCCAAAATTGCTCCGCGTTAATTTCCTACACCGATCGAATTCTTAACTTTGACTGCAGGCACAACAATATGCCTAACCCTAAACCTAACCCTAAATATAATCACGAACCTGACCCTAAACCTAAACCTAAACCTAACCCCTAAACCTGATCCTAAACCCAACCCTAAACCTAACCCTAAATATAATCATAAACCAGACCGTAAACCTAACCCTAAACCTAAACATTCACCTTTTTTGTTGCGGTCATTCGCACATGAACCTTGATAAAGCAGCCAAGGTTCCATTTCAAAGTATAGGTTAGGGAAAAGGGTTAAGGCTCACCTAGGAACAATGTGATACAGTTTTCACTACCTTTCTCACCACTATTTGAGCCAAGAACGCTTCCTCCAAGCGGACAGGAAAGACAGAGACTCATCGGTAGGCGAGTGCTTAAATAATAATATGGTGTTGTATATAGGGTCAGTTGCTTGCCTTCATATGTTGACGTTTCCAGTAATTCATGACAGGGTCGTAAGCTTGGAGAGGGCCATTCATCAAAATAATCTAATAAGACACATATATTTACAAAAACACTGATTACCTTTAAATACCGCGTGTGTGTGCGTGTGTATTTGTGTGTTGGCAAGGATTATACATAATAAGCAAGACATAACTAGAAAGCAGGTTATACAAAGCAGTTACATATGCATATATTCCACGCATTTCGTTAACTAACTGTTGGAAGCTAAGTATAGTTTATAATCATGATGCTAGCAAGCTCTACGACCGCCCCTCATCACACCCACCTTCTTCGCAGCTAATAATGACATCATTTTATTTGCTGATGTCTATTTGTTTAAGTTTGGAGTTCATTTAGCCCGCTATTGACAAAAAGAAACTATAGCGGTAGAAGATCCCAAATGCCCCTCCCCTGTCACTTTGACCGGGTTAGGCGTCCCGGCGTACTTGACATTCATTATTAAATTATGGTCAATAGAGTATCATTAGACGAATTGCATTATGGGTTATCACAGACGTATCGTGGTTGTTGGATGTAATTACTCCCTATATATACGCCGTCTGTTTACTTTGTGAAGATAAATTAGGCAAATATTTGAATTATGTCAATGACTATAGCAATTTGATCATCAACTGAGAAGGCAAAAATAAATATTAGAGATTGCGAATTATATACATGTATACGTATTGAAGGCAAAACACAGTCTCCTCAAGTTCTAATGTGTTTGGAGTAAAAGTATGTTAATTAAGAAGGTAGTAAAGTGAACCGGTAAAATTGTTGAAGGTCGATGAAAAAACTGCGTAATTTTTGTATGACATGTTACTTGTTATATTCCTTCTACTCTACTAACCATCTAACACGCAAAAAATCCTGAAAAAATTCTCAAACCACAAATATATTCATGGTTTTCTTTGAAGGCGTCACTGTGCGACACCCGCTAACAGTAAATTCTTCAAACCAATTAAACATTTTCCCAACCGTTTTTACATGAAAATATGGCAAGCTTTTAAAATCTGTCAACACTTAAATGATTGGAATGGTATGAAGAGCCAATTCATTGCTTTGTGACTGTTAAATTCACCAACAATTCAATTAAATTATAATAAGTACAGTTTGGAGAATTCTGGAATCTATCAGATAAGTTTTTCCCAATCGTTTTAATTAATAATGGTCTGTTTTCACTAAAAATTTGGAATTATCTTTAACTGTATAGGCCTAAATCTAGCATTACAGTCACTCCTTTACCACCATTTTCTCTCATCTGAACAATGTTATCTAGTCCCTCTAATATTGTTCAAAGGTTACGAAGAAATATGATTGAGCAAAATAATCATCTTCGTTTATTTCAACTAATTATATCAATAAACCGTTTATTATTTTACATTTATCAACTGACGTTCCTTATTCTGAGCAAGCTCCGGCGACGATTGCCCCACTTAATTTTGTCAAAGATGTTAGGGTTAGGGTTATGTTTGAAATTCGCTATAATCATGTTACCTTAAAGCCTATCTGCACTATTTTGGCCAGGAGGGATTAGAGCTTCCAGTACTGGCAGGTGGTTATTTCATCAAATAAGCTCTCAATGAACATACGAAAAAGGAGATCATGGGGGATCAACGAGTCCCGCTTAGGCATTGTTGGATATATATATAGAGGGCACAAGTAATTACAAGTAGTGCAGCCCCGCTTTACGGGAAAGGATTAAATATAGTATTTGGGCCAGGGTTGAGGTTCAACTTGTGGGATTTATTTAGAATTAGGAAATACACCAGGAGAAAATATCTCTTACTATTACTATTACTATTACTGGCAATCTACATTTGATAATATTCTAGGCATCTATGTAAATACGCATCAAGTAATGATAATAATATTAATAGTGATAATAATAATGATAATAATAGTGATACTACTACTACTACTAATAATAATAATACAATATGGGTTTGTTTCCTCTCTCTCTCTCTCGCTCTCCTTCTCTCTCTCTCTCTCTCTCTCTCTTTCTCCCTCTCTCTCTTTCTCTCCCTCTCTCCCCCACTCACAAATTCTCTCTCTCCCCATTTCCTCCCCCTTTCCTCCCCCTGTCTCTCCCATTCTCCTCGCCAGCTGTTTTAGGCCAAACTTGTGAACCTGGATGGACGCTATACGAGCCAGAGGAACGTGTTCTCTACCTGTGTACAATCGAATGGTCAGAACCAATGCAAGAGACTACTGTATTAGTTTGAATGCAGATCTGGTCATGATCAAGGACGAGCCCAAAAGTGTAAGTATCATTTTGAGACAGAATCTTGGGTTAAACCGCATGTCAGACAATATACATCATAGTGATATGATTGAGGATTTTGTGGAAAAAATATATTTACGTAGCCTTTAATATAACAATGTGTAGGATAATTATTTAAAACTCCAAACTTGTTAACTGTATGTGGATATATATGCATGTTGATTTCTTTGTGGTGTGTCGACAAATGTCCTGATTTGAAACGACTTGACTTATCATTTAACAAAATGTAGTAAATAATGTTTTCTGAACATTTCATCTTGACCATTTGAACAACTGGGTATATCCATTCTAAGCAGATTCAAAATTGATCGGAGACTCTTGATAAATATGTGTTGTTTGATTGACATCGGGGGCATGCAAAACAATCTTTCACAGTTTACTGCCGCATTCTTAAAGTCAATTTTGTGGGGAGCTTCGTTTCGAGAAAGTGTATTTAATTCTTTTTTTCATGTAATGATCATATCATGTGAACCCCCCCCCCCCCTAAAAAAAGGGAGGGGTGGGAAAGAAAAATTCGGGGAATGTGTATGTGTATACGTGGGGAAGTGTTGAAGGTAGGCAAATACTCGGCCTGAACAGGTCCCGACATTTTCTTTAAAAGCCTTGTTGCGTTTCGATTATTACTCAGTTATTATAACATTTCTTTAATAATTATTTTCAGATGCCATGCGATAGATTTATTGCATTATGTTATAGTCTGGCAGCACCGGATATCTTGCTTTTATATGATGTCTACTCATCCACGTATTGCTAGATTATCTTGCTTTTATATGATGTCTATTCATCCAAGCATTGCTAAGTTATCTTGTTTTTATAAACGAATGACATAAATGTTCACATATAAACCTGGAAATATTTGACCGTTTCCGGAACTCAAGATTATGTTTAATAAATCATTTTGTTTATTTTCAGGACTGGTTGACACCGCTACTCGCCGCCGATTCGGTATTTTGGATTGGTTTATCGGACAGGGGAGCCCTTCAATGGAAATGGGTTGATGGCACAGTAGCAGATTACTAGTAAGTAAGATCCTTCCTGAAACTTCGTTCAAGATTCAAGATTCAAGATTCAAGATAATTTATTGTCATGTAAAAAAATACATAAAATTTGCCTCGGACATTTAAAGATGCTTTACATGTACATACAAATATAAATATATAAATACAGACAAAATAATTACATTTCAACATAACATTTAACAATCATCACAATTTTAAGAAAGGTTACATTAAAAGAATAAAATAAAACTGAGGTTCAATCTACTTCGTAGATAATTTGAAGAAATAATAAGAATAATATCTGGAACTGGCCATGTATTCAGGTAAAATACAGCTCAATTTAGTGCAAAGTAACAGATACGTTATTATCGATTTTATTCGGAAAGATGTTCTCCAACTTTTTGTAAAGCGGTTTTGTTTCTTGTATTCTTCAACATTATAAGCTGATGTGATGATGTATGTAGGCCTATTATATAACAAAATATCCTTTGATAAAGCGAATTATGCAATCTTAAAGGTTTAATATGCAGTTTCTAATGTTGAAATGAATTATATATTTTGATCGATTGTAAATCTGGAGGAGATAATATCAAATTTATTTCATCTAAGAGGAGCTAACTTAGCAATAGGGTACTACTTTCTATTTTGACCAAATACTGATTCTCTCCTACTGGCTATTTACGTTTTATTTTTTTCATTATGATATCCCCACAACGAACAATACATAGTTACATAAATATATATGCGAGGACATATAATGGTAATGTAACAAGATAAGATAATACGATTATGAAAAAGTACTAAAAATGAAGCTTCGATGTTACATAAAACATTGGCTTCTTGAGGTCGTTCTTAATAAATCCGTCACACTGCCTAACCGACTCTAAAACCTATTCCAAGCTGACCGATACTTGGCCATTAGGGTAATGTATTTGTTTGTTGGGTCTGTTTTCGGTTTACTGGGGTTTCAAACCTCAGTCACACCGCTTATCCGACTTTAAAATCGACTGTAAACGATCTGTAGTCGGTCTGATATCGTTTCCGTTGATGTGACTGAGGTATAACATCCAGAGTCATGTGAGTTTGGTCAACCTGGTTCTAGATGGGCACAATATGGCTTTGTTGACCAACCACAATACAAACCAATAGACGTCATCTCGAGTTCAACTAAAGACCAAACTCGGTAGCCCGTATTCTAGGAAATATTGAAACCCGACGTTGTTTTTTAGGCTTTTGTTTGGTTTTGTTGTTTTAAGAAAGGAATTAAGTCTGTGGTCTAAATTAGATAATTTTTCTCTTTGTTTAAACGTGATTTTAGAAGTAGAGTCGGGGTTAACTGAAAAAGTCGACTACATAATGTGTGTAACGATGGCTCTGATAACCGCCTGTTCTATTTATTTCGTCTGTCTTTAGTAACTGGGCGCCCAATGAACCAAACGAGAAAGATGAATTACATGAGGACTGTGTTGAGATATATTCCAACGGTTTGTGGAATGATGAGCAATGTCTTGGAATGGCTAACCCGATCTGTGAAAGAGCACTAGGTTAGTTGTCAATTTTCCATTTAAGATATCTACCTGAATTGCTTAATAATTTCTACTTAAATTTTATGTAAAAAAACCCAATAATTAAAACGTTCAGATAAAAAAAAGGGTTCAAATTTAAATTAATCCGTTTTTTTAATCGAAAATGAATTTGTATTATGAATAAAACAAGTTTAGTAGTAAGCAGGTTTATTGACAACTTTTTACTTTAAATATTGTATTGTTTAATATTGGTTATTATTTTAAATATTCTCGATAAAAATATACGTGTATCTGTACCTTTAACATTTTAAAAATTAATTATCCTCTGAAACACAAAGTTGTGTTATTTAGTGTCTCTTAAAGTAAGTATGGGGTCTAAATGATAAAAAGCAACATTAAGCGGTAAATGGGCCTTATCTATGACGTTCGGGGCAAACAATTCATCATCGATGTTATGAACTAACGAATCCGTTCATTTACTGCGATATAAACGACGGTTCAGAAGAATCGCGCCGTGAGTTCTGGCGTATTTTTAAAATGACTACTCCTCATTTTGTTGGTTCATATATATAATCTTCAAGCAGTGATGTATCTAGCTTAGTGTGAACTGGGCCTACGTACACATTCAAAGCCACTGCGAAAATATACACATATATGAGTATCTGGGTACGGCATAAAACAGTTGCATGCTAACGAAGCAACAATTTAAGAAAAAAATATTTAAGATTCGATTCTAGAGAGCTATAGATTTGTTAATGATTATGATTAAAACAAGTAAAGCTTAATATCTGGATCTTAAAAAATTCATATCGCGTAAATAATATAATTTCTTATGAACAAAAATATCCAGATATATTCAATGGCACACTTTTTATTACTGCAATACTATAACTAATATCTAAACCTGGTTTTCCATTTACGTATAGGTGCGACTGGACCCCCACCAACAAGTAAGTCACTGTTATTTTCTCTTCGTGAATGTGTCATTATGTAAGATAACACAAATTTTAAAGATTTTAACCTACAGCCGCCAGCATTCAGAAAGTTCTGGACATCATATTTCCTGTACTTGCACAATTACATTGGTCGTATAATTTCATATATTTTGTCTCATTTGTTTGTTTGGATAGGGGGGGGGGGGGCTGTCCATAGAGCCATATTATGATTGTCGATAGGCTGAGCTTCCAATGGAAACTGTTTTGTATGTACTATGATTTGAGTTTATTAAATCAGGAGTTAATAAGAAAAGAGAAAAAAATGGCAGAAACTAAATCTGTGACCAGGCATTTAATATTTAATAAACACTACACACCAACGTATTACTAATGGTGTAATTTAAGTAGTGCCTGAACATTTTACATATCTAAAAATAAAATTCATGCTAATTTGTGGAAATTATATTATATTATTACCCCGTCTCTCAGAGACGAAAGTTTTGAATATTTATTCCCTTTAACGAAATCTTGGATCCGCTTCTAAGGTATAACAAAATATGAGGCCCGCGAGATCGACTATTTTAGTCTCATGGGCTATGGGTCTTCAACCACACGGCCAAAACGACTCCAAACAGAACAATTCTCTTGAATCTTTTCTTTTTTATTATGTTTTACCTAATTATCCGGTACGTGTCCATTTATTTAGCACTGAATTACGAGCCACCGTGTCCAGAGGGATGGTACAAGTACGATGAACAGTGTATCTTGGTCGTGACAAACCGAGATGTGTTCAACAGCGCCAGAGACTACTGCCAATATCTTAACTCAGATTTGGTCGTCGTCAAGACACAGGGATTGAATGTGAGTGCTTTGGGTTTGTTTTAGGGATGGGGGGGGGGGGGGACTAGGGCAAGAGAGGTAGGGATACTATTCGTTTCTTGTGGAGAAAATGGTTAGTTTAATCATGGACCCTGGTTTAATCCTCTGTCGTCCTTTGACTTGTTGCTCTTAATCCATTAATCCGTCTGTTTAGAGTCAGAAGGATGTTATTAAAGGCACATACTCTGTGAAACAATTGACACATATCTTTCTGTTGGCAGACGAATGTGAAACATAATTTAATTTGTCTGCCTCCTTGCAAAATGGTTAGCGGAGAAGAGGAGAGAGAGGGAGGGGAGAACTTTTTGGAGGAAATGTGAACAAGTAAACAAAAGTAAACATAGAAGCTGGAAGACCCTTTCATGCCATTTTGTGCATTCTACCTAACAGGGTACCACCGGAATTCGATTAAATGTTGAAAATGCCTTGATTCTGGATTTTTGACGTTTCTCTAAGCATAAGCAAAATTTCATTCCAAATATATTTGTTTTTGTTTCCTGAAGGATTTTATAGCAAATCTGATTTCCGGGTTCGGTGATGATGGTTTCTGGCTAGGATTGACTGATAAAAGAGAAATGTACGAGTTTGTCTGGGTAGATGGCACAGAACTGGGACCAAATGATTACGAGTAAGTTTTAGGATATTGCATGTCCATATAATAGGCCCTTGGACAGCTGCTAGCAAATGTATTATGTGTTACTGTTACTTTATGAAATGCGTCCGTCATGTTTGAAAGTTTAGATAAAGAAAGAAATAAGAACTCACCATGACATCCTGTATAGATATCCGCTAATAAGTCCACGTGTTACGTGTTAGCATGATATGACGCAAAAGTGATGATAATATATATATAAACATTCATAGAGATTGATCAATAAAGTTCTACTGAGAAGATAATAAATCCCATTGTCACAATCGTTTATATGAAATGAGGTTTAAAAATTATTCCAACCTTTCAAATTTATTTAATATTTCCTTGACATAAGTGTGGAGTTAACTTGTATCATGTACCTTAAAAGTCGAGTATATAACATCTTTATCAAACATCAGACATATTATAATCGTTATCTAAATCAACGTTGGTTATGAATTTAGTTCGAATACCATCTTTATGAAACGCGAATTATAAAAAAAAGAAATGATTCCTTGCTACTGCCAAGTTGTAATGCCAAGTTATTGGCATTACGCGAGTGCTGATGTTAGTGAAATGCTTGTTTACAACGTATCGATTGACTATTATTTATGCTCTGATACTCGGGTTTTAGATACCCCTTTTATATAACAAAGAAAACAAGTAATAATTTATACCTTTTTTTCAATCAGCAACTGGATGCCGAACGAACCAAACGAAAGTGACGGTCTTCATGAAGACTGCGTAGAAATGTTAGCTAATACTGGAAAGTGGAATGATGAACAATGCATTGCTCCTCAGAAGTACATATGCGCCAGACCAACCGGTACGTCTAACCTTACAAGTGGAGCGTCTGTATCAGTTCAGCTACACCCAGACACACTGACTACACTGACACCAGACCGACAAGGGACTTCATCTACACCCAGACACACTGACTACACTGACACCAGACCGTCAAGAGACTTCAGCTACACCCAGACACACTGACTACACTGACACCAGACCGTCAAGAGACTTCAGCTACACCCAGACACACTGACAACTCTGACACCAGACCGTCAAGAGACTTCAGCTACACTCAGACACACTGACTACACTGACACCAGACCGACAAGGGACTTCATCTACATCTAGACACACTGACAACTCTGACACCAGACCGACAATAGACTTCAGCTACACCCAGGCACACTGACTACACTGACACCAGATCGACAAGAGACTTCAGCTACACCCAGACACTGACATCTCTGACACCAGACAGACAAGAGACTTCAGCTACACCCAGACACACTGACATCTCTGACACCAGACCGTCAAGAGACTTCAGCTACATCTAGACACACTGACAACTCTGACATCAGACTGAGAAGAGACCGAGTAAAACTTGTATTGACATGAATGGACGAGAAATGGTCCGTTTTTATTCGGTGTGGGGTCTGTTTGGCAGTGTGGCGGACCCATCTCACCACGTCACATCGACCACACTGAATCCGGACCGATAAGAGACCGAACAAAGCACCCAATCTCCCCAATGGCCATGAATCGGTCGGTTTAGAAGTAGTTTGGTGTCGGTTATTTGTAGTGCGACTGAGCTATAAAGATAGAATGAAATCATTTTGATTGAAGTCGTTAATTCTTTCTTTATAGATTGATTGAATTGCACATTTTCCCTGATCGTTTTGGGGGCCTAGTTGTATTCTGTTTGGTGTTTTTGCGTTACAGCTGGAATAAGGGAGCCAAAGTTTATAATCAGTTTTGAGATGCATATTCATTAAAAATTGTGATACAATCGGATGATTCCTGTATTCAAGTCTCTTTGAATCATATACACATAAAATGTATTTTAATATGTTTAAGGTTTTATATGATGCATCATAAAGTTTTAAATACTCTGGCAATTCTTTTAGATAATGGTTTAACACTCTGACTTAAGAGTATATATAACTAGAACCATAACCAATACAAGGTGATAAAACAGAAATCAAAACAAATCTAACATAATGATATATCACACATGTTTCTTTTTATTCCAGTCTTTACATCAACTTCTCCACGTCCTCCAACTCCACGTAAGTTTAATTGAAAATCGTTTAGTAGATTGATGGCGCGTTATAAATGCAATTGTGTACATTATTATCATTATTTTTATAATTATCATTATTATTATTGTTATTCTTCTTCTTCATAATCCTTACCATCGTCATCATAATTAAGGTTATCATCATCATTATTATTATCATTGCTATTATTATTATCAGTATCATTATTATTATTATCATTATCACTATTATCATTATCATTATTATTATTATTATTATTATCACCAGACGAGTGTTACTACATGTATCAACTTTATGAGTTATACTTTGGTGTTAATTCACATCCTTGCAGAATCACTACTTGACCTATTGTTGTGATTTCAAATAATTAGGTATTGTTGCATCCGTTGCATCCAATTTAATCTGTGCGTTCCTGACTTTTATATTTTAAAGACACCTTTCTTAGATTTCGGACTTATCCTATTATAAACGATGATAGTATTTTAGCGGTTTGCATTCCATGTGGTTTATACGGTCATTTCTTGTTTATAGTTTTTTTCAATGTGATATAGAAAAGGTGAATGAAGTTAACTGATAATCGCATAATTATCGCTGTTTTCATAGACAGATGGTTAAATGCGTGCTCCTCTAAATAATTGATCAGTTTCTTCTGATAAACAGTATATCAAGTAGTAGAAAGGATTAAATCTTCTTGTTTTAATTTGTTTTCTTTTCACAGCGAGAAGCACTCATCCTCCAGCCCTATCAAGTAAGTCATTAGTTGATATGACTCCAATGAGGAATCCGCCGTAGAATGTGTTTCTTTGTTTGTTTTTATTTCAGAAGTAAAAAAAAGACCTGAATAACATCCATAATAGGATTTTAAGTTTCAAATACGGCGGATAGACCATTTTATCTGTCACGGTAGAGAACTGCCTTATTTTTTTTACCATGGAGTCTTTTACGTTAACTAAACATATTTGTTAATAGATAAAGAGATAAATGTGAAAATTCACTGCAGTTACTGCATCTTTTTTTTGTTATACGTGCTTATTCTTTATTTCGTGTATTACGATGTATACGTCTTTAACAAAAGGCGTGATATTGATATATTACACTAGAATACATAAACAGACTTTTATTATCTTAAAACGGAACAACCTATATTTTTACATGTTAGATAGAAAATGAAATTTGATGCAAGATGAATAATATGTTTATTAAATGAACGTTGTTGTAAGACGTGTTTGTTGTTTTCCTTTGTTTCCCATGCAGCGGAGTGTGGGGATGGCTGGATGAAGTATGAAGATACCTGCGTGCTTGTCGTTGGGACTAGATTGACATTCGATTTGGCTCAGGAGTATTGCCAGGAGCGACATGCAAACCTCATCAAACTAGAGAGTCAAGATATGAATGTAAGTCTTCATGCGGACATCTGGCTTTCAATCGGGCTTTCGGGTCGGGTCGGGTTGTCGGATTACACGGACTTTCGTGAAAGGTCGGGTAAATTTAATAAAAAACAATCACATTTTCACATCAAAGTGGTGATCTCTAGCATGTTACGAATTCTTGTGATTATAGATCTCGTAAAAATGTCGGATCGAGACGCGAGTTTTCGTAGATTTCTGTAGGTTTTTCAGGAGTGTCAGTATAGTAGACCAAACACTTTGGCAAGAGGGGTATATTTTACTAACGTTACACCCGACCTTCTGGAATTATGGCATGACTGTTTACGAAAGTTTGTGTAATTCGAAGATGCTCAGACCCGGTGAAACGAAGTAATCCCAGATATCTGCATCTAGGTGCTGTAATCATCTAAAACCTAGCAACATTAAAAGAAATTTACACAATAATGGTCATTTTGTAGGTAACAATCAAATCTTTCATAACATTTCAAACTTATTCGTTCATAATTATGATGTCACTGTGCGTGATGTAATATAAATATATATTTCTGTGTATATCTCGGTTTTTAAGCATTCATAACTTTCTTATTTTTTGTCATGTCATTCTTATATATTTTCAACTGAAAATTTATATCTGATTTGCTTGCTTTCACAAATTAAAATTGGTAGAAAGACATGACTGTCTGTTCACCACCTTTTGTAGATGTGCTCTAGTGGGTACGTCGCTGAAATGTGAATCAAATTATTCGAGTCCCGCTGCAGCACTTATGCCCTTTGACAAGATATTAACTTCTAGTTGCCACTCTCCACCCAGATGTAGATAATGGGTACCGGATGGGAAGACATTCCTTGAATGCTTGAGAGTCTTTTCATGGTTGCTCAGCAATTGAAAGCCGGGGTAATATGATTTCGGGGCTCTCAGGGAGAAGAATACTAACACTGAATAGGTTACCCTGGATAAACAAGACAAATGATTGCTATTATTATTATGTGTAATAATGATAATAACAATAATAATGATAATAGTACTTATCATTATTATTGTTATCATTATAATTACTATAATTATTAATATCATGGTAATTATCATTATTATTATAATTTCTACGCCGTAAATCTATATCTTCTATCTAGAACTGGTTAGTTGATCAGACTTCCGTCTACAGTGAAGTGTACTGGATTGGGCTCTACGATCGCATAGACGACAATACATTTATATGGATAGACGGGACCACACCATCATTTACGTAAGAATTCATCAACAACAAACGTGAAGTTTTAAGAGATAAATGTTATCAATATTTTATCCATATTGGCTCTATACATTGTCAGGATATATTTACTATTACTAGTAGGCCTATTTTTATCTGTAGTTGACACCAGAAACTTGCCTCCCCTTTTGCTTTAATATTTAAAAAACTAAATAAAGCCCAACTTATTATTTAATATAACTGAATACATCACGGCTATTCATATAATCCATTTTCGACTCTGGAGACATTTTGAATAGTATGTGTGTGTTTGTTTCTGCCGGAAGAGGGCTAGGGGTTCCGATGTAGGATTAATGTTTTGTAATCACGTGAAGAGTATGAAATCCATCCCCAGTATAGTGTCATGAATATGGATGAGGTTTGACGAACCCTATGACCAGTTGCATACCCAGTCCTTAGTGTTGGGAGGGGCATAAGCTGTTACCCATATAATGTCGTTAAGGACAATAATTGGAGGATCACAGTATGCGTCGCCTAAAATAAATATAATTCAATTTGAGAATAAGTAGTATGTATTGAGATTGTGTCTATCTCTTATGCGTTTGACGTAAACTGATTCCGTAACCTTGTAACTTCTCTATAAAAAGTGCGTGCATTTCTTTCTCTTCGTCAGACATCTACCAGGAGGGGAAATTGGTCTTCCCCTTAAAGATAGGTTGACGAATTCTCAGAACAGTTTATTTTCTAAATATCAAACAAGATAACTGTTAATTTGTTATGCTTTTAGAAATTGGGCACCCAACGAACCCAACAACAACGATGGAATTGGAGAAGATTGTGTTGAAATGCGTGTAGGAGGGGATTGGAATGATGAGCAATGTAGGGCAGCCAACGCTTTCGTTTGCTCCAAAGGATACGGTAAAACATGTTCCTGCACTATCTTTTTTTAGTTCAACAGAGGGCTCCATTTATTTTGAAATTCATATCAAGGCAGTATAAAGATCAAACCGCGTAAAATTGACAATTCGACTCTTTCAGTACTATTCAGTAGTACTATATTCACAATAATTCAATGATTCTTTAGCATTTGGGGCGAAACTAATTTGTTTGTAACGATTACAATACCGTCATGTACAAGTTATGTTTATGGAGGATTGCTTTGCTTGTTTTAAAGAAGAAACAAATCATCTTTACGCTGGTAAAACCACTCTGACGATGTTATTCATTATTTGAAAGTCCGTAGTAAACACAATTACAAAATGACCGACAAAAGCATTACATCATCAAACTTTTAGACCCCTTTTTCAGTGTTACTCTCCATGCAGGCGCGGATCCAGGATTTTCCAAAAGGGGGGGGGGGGGCCGGAAATTTCGAAATTGCGCAGAACTTTTTTTTAAACTCAACATATCAACAAGGTCATATTAGAAGCACCATACCGGTACAATTTTTGACATTTCCATCGGGGGGGGGGGGGGGCTATAGCCTCTTGCCCGAAAAAGTAATTTTCTGGTTTCACAATTCGGCTAGTGAGTGAAGCGATCGAGCAAAAATTTGAGCATAATATTTATATTGTAAAAGTGTTATTCATCACGAAAATAAACGAGAAAAGATATCAAAAATTCATATTCGGGTAGCTCGCTGTCCCCCCCCCCCCCCCCCATTACGCGCGAAGCGCAGAAGCTCTGATGTTTCATGAAATAATTAGAGGAGAGGATTCGTTGAACCATTCTCGACTCTAAATCCTTGTTTGAATTTAGTTCCCCCTCCCCTCTCGCGCGAAGCGCGGAAGCTTTGACCTTTCATTAATTGTTAGAGAAAGAAGAAGATTAGTTGTACCATTCTCGACTCTTATTCCTTGTCCGAATTCAGTTCCCCTCCCCCTCCCGCGCGAAGCGCGGAAACTTTGTCCTTTCATAGTTTAATGAAATTATTAGAGAAAGAATAAGAAGATTCGTTGTTCCATTCTCGGATCTTAATCCTTCTCTAAATTCAGTTCCCCCCCCCCCTCCCGCGCAAAGCGCAGAAGCTTAACGTTTTATTAAAATATTAGAGAAAGAAGACGATTCGTTGTACCGTTCTCGACTCTCAATCATTGTCTGAATTCAGTCCCCCCCCCTCCCGTGCGAAGCGCGTAAGCTTTGACGCCTCATTTTATAGAGAAAGAAGACGATTCGTTGTACCATTCTCGACTTTTAATCCTTGTCTAGATTCAGTTTACCTCCTCCCGCGCAAAGCGCGGAAACTTTGTCCTTTCATAGTTTAATGAAATTATTAGAGAAAGAATTCGAAGATTCGATGTTCCATTCTCGGATCTTAATTCTTCTCTAAATTCAGTTCCCCCCCCCCTCCCGCGCAAAGCGCGGAAGCTTTGACTTTTCATTACATTATTAGAGAAAGAAGAAGATTCGTTGTTCCATTCTCGGATCTTAATCCTTCTCTAAATTCAGTTCCCCCCCCTCCCGCGCAAAGCGCGGAAGCTTTGACTTTTCATTACATTATTAGAGAAAGAAGAAGATTCGTTGTTCCATTCTCGGATCTTAATCCTTCTCTAAATTCAGTTCCCCCCCCCCCTCCCGCGCAAAGCGCGGAAGCTTTGACCTTTCATTACATTATTAGAGAAAGAAGATGATTCGTTGTTCCATTCTCGTCTTCTAATCCTTGTTTAAATTCAGTTTCCCTCCCCTCCCGCGCGAAGCGCGGAAGCTTTGACCTTTCATTACATTATTAGAGAAAGAAGATGATTCGTTGTTCCATTCTCGACGTTTAATCCTTGTCTAGATTCAGTTTACCTCCTCCCGCGCAAAGCGCGGAAGCTTCGACGTTTCATTAAATTATTAGAGAAAAAAGACGATTCGTTGTACCGTTCTCGACTCTTAATACTTGTCTGAATTGATTTCCCTCCCCCTCCCGCGCGAAGCGCGTAAGCTTTGACATTTCATTAATTATTAGAGAAAGAAGGAGATTAGTTGTACCATTCTCGACTCTTATTCCTTGTCCGAATTCAGTTCCCCTCCCCCTCCCGTTCGAAGCGCGGAAACTTTGACCTTTTATAGTTCAATGAAATTCTCAGAGAAAGAATTAAAAGATTCGTTGTTCTATTCTCGACTCTTAACCCTTCTCTAAATTCAGTTCCCCCCCCCCCTCCTGCCCGAAGCGCGTAAGCTTTGACGCCTCATTCAATTATTAGAGAAAGAAGAAGATTAGTTGTACCATTCTCGACTCTTATTCCTTGTCCGAATTCAGTTCCCCTCCCCCTCCCGTGCGAAGCGCAAAAACTTGATCTTTTATAGTTCAATGAAATTATCAGAGAAAGAATTAGAATATTCGTTGGTCCATTCTCGACTCTTAATCCTTCTCTAAATTCAGTCCCCCTCCCCCTCCCGCGCAAAGCGCAGAAGCTTAACGTTTTATTAAAAAATTATATAAAGAAGACGATTCGTTGTACCGTTCTCGACTCTCAATCATTGTCTGAATACAGTTTCCCCCCCCCCCCTCCCGCGCGAAGCGCGTAAGCTTTGACGCCTCATTCAATTATTAGAGAAAGAAGACGATTCGTTGTACCATTCTCGTCTTCTAATCCTTGTTTGAATTCAGTTCCCCCCCCCCCTCCGGGCGAAGCGCGGAAGCTTTGACGTTCAATTAAATTATTAGAGAAAGATGATGATTCGTTGTACCATTCTCGACTCTTAATCCGTGTCTGAATTCAGTCCCCCCCCCCCCCTCCTAAGCGAAGCGCGGAAGCTTTGACATTTCATTAAATTATTAGAGAAAGAAGACGATTCGTTGTACCGTTCTCGACTTGTCAGAATTTCAAAAATATTTCCTTGTCTGCTCCTTTTTCGTCCAATGTCCTTTTACTGCCCCTACCGCCCCTGGCTACGCGCCTGCTTTAAAGGGAAAATGAAACAATCATGATTGTGATAGCACACAATTAGGTTAGTAGAAATGAAAGATCTATTACACCAACCATGGATAAATCTACTTCAAGTTTTACCAACATGAGTTCAAATACGGCCCTACCGTTAATTTAAAATTTGACTGTTGAGTATATAGCTTCTATTTAAAAGACATCCAAAATATTATGCCCTTTTCAAATTTCTCACTAAAGAGTGGTGACCTTTGTAGCGCAGTGGCTGTTTTTAAGGTTTAACTTTGAATCCGCGGCTCGAGATTTTATGCGGCCGGCCCGGCCCCCTCTATTTAATGACGTTTGCCAAGCCTCCTGAAATGACCCCAAATCTCCCGATTACAGTTTTCCCTTATTCGTCGTTACTGTCAAATTTCGCCATTTCCTTGTCTTCCCCCTTTCTCACCCGACTTTTCTCCCCCCCCCCCAAACTCAGTGTTATCTAGGGTACGCGTATTTATGTTCCCTCTCTTAGAAAGCACCCCTCTTTCTCCGGTGTGTAACGTCAGTAAGGGCCGGATTTTTGTGTATTACGGGCCGGACTTTGATGCGTGAAAAAGTAACCCTTTTTCGGAGATTTTGGGAACACAAATCGGGGGGGGGGGCCTTTTTCGTTTTCTTTTCTCCTCTTCTCTCTCTCTCTCTCTCTCTTTCTTTCTCTTCTTTCTTTTTTCTTTTCTATTCTCTTTTCCTTTCTTTTCTCCTTCCTTTTTTTCTTTTCTTCTCCTTTCTTTTTTCTCTTCTTTTCTTCCTCTTTTTTTCCTTTTTTTTGCGCCGCCAATAGGGGGGGGCGCGGCCGTTTCGGCCCCCCCCCTGGATCCGCCACTGCCATGCACCCATTCCACACCTCATCCCGGCATTGTTCTCGTTTGTGGAAGTCCCTTTTTTCCTCTCTTCGTGAGATTCACAGTCTAGAACCCTTCACATTATGCCTCAAAACTATTTCAGCGAAATAAAACATACTGATTTAACTGGAGAAACCTAAGCCTTACCATGTATTTTGTATTAAAACCTATATACCACCTTATAAATGCTGGTAGTCATCATTATCATCATTATCATCATTACTACCACCATCATCGTCACCATCACCGTCATCATCATTAGTTTTCCTACCACTCACACTCATTGTCCCAGATTCACACGATCTAAACTCTCTATGTTCTTTACAGAGGAAATCCCCTTATGTGACATCAAAGCAGGCTGGGAAGCCTTCGGAGATAAGTGCTACCTGTGGGTATCCGACACCAAGAATATAGCCGATGCTACATCGTACTGTACGACGATGGATGGATACGTCATATCTATCAACAGTGCCAATGAACAAACCTTTGCTACCTCCATGCAGCTACGCTATGCCAACATACAGTACTGGATAGGACTCAGTGACCAAGTATATTTACAACAAATTTTGATGAATAAATATATCATAATTTTTACATATTTTGAGGCATTAGTTTTATGACACATACTCGTAAGAGGTAATAATCTGTGATATTTCCGGAGAACATGGTTTGGGATAATTTTCTCGTCTGGTGATATATATTTGGCAGTTAGATCGAATTATGGTAGTTCATGTCTCAGGAAGGTCTCATATAAAATAACCTTTCGCATGTGTCGCAGTACTAATTAATAATGACAAATCCTCTAGTACTAATTCTTACTTGATTAATGTTTTCACCTACTTCAAAGAAATTATGTCACTTAACCGTCTTACATTGTTTTATTATCTATTAACATTACAGGATAACAGAGGTACTTTCACGTGGCAAGATGGAACAGATACTCAAAGCTACAGTCATTGGAATACAGCTGAAAATGAACCAGATTCTAAGTAAGTCATTCTAAAAGCCCACTGCATACTATACGATCTTCTTGCAATCTGAGTCAAAAAAATTGCAATTATTATTATATACCGAAAGCTAACAAAAAATAACCCACTAGATTTAGATTCAAAATAATGATAAGAAATACTAACAACAAGAGTTTTAGTGCATTTAAGCCTCTATAGTCAGAGTAAACGCGGAATCGGCTTCAGATAGCTAGTGGACAATGTACTACTGGTATGACGTCACTTCTCTCAATAAGAGGGTTGAGGGTTCGAATTTCACCTCGGCAGTAACGCCCTTTGGCAAGACATTAATCCACATGTATCACTCCACTCAGGTGTAAATGGCTACCTAGCAATGATAGGGTAAGGGTAGTTGCCCGCATGAAGAGGGGTAATAGTACCGATTATAATGATAATTCTTATTGTGATTATTATCATTATCATTCTTATTTCAATATTATCATTATCATTATTATTATCGTTATTATAAGTAGTATTATTATTATTATCATTGTAATTATTATTATCATTATTATTATCATTATCAATGGCCCGAAAAGTAATACGAAAGGTGCGGGCATTTCAATTCTGCCAGCTTAAGAAAAGGCCGAATCGGCTACTAGGCGGTGGGCAGACTGGTGTGACGTCACAACGACTCAAAAGCAGATCGGACAATTTTACGAACTAAAAGCATAGACCTACTAGGTCCATGCTGAAAGGCTTGAAAATGATGAACTTCACGCTGTACGAAACCCCATTTATTTAAAGCTACAAATGTGTATTGCATGAACTATTTTTTGCTCATTGATATCTAACGCTTTGTCAAAGAAATATGAAGACCGATCATGACATCTCAAAGTCTATCAATGTAACGATAAAGGTATTTCTATTGAAGTTACAAATTTGCATACTACATGAAACCAAAACATAATTCGTTGAATGTCTTCTAAATGTATTGCTTCATTAAATGTAAAAAGTGATGTTATTCATCCTGGTGATCAGAAAGTGACCAAGAGTGGACCGAGAGAGGAAAAATAAAAGCTTAGGGAAAACATTTGAAAAAGAACTGAAAATAAATAGAGAGCACTGTAATAGTTTATATTCTAACATGCGTGTATTTTATCTCTTTTCTTCTAGCGTGTACCCCGCGTGTGGTATGGTACAGGGGATGGTACAGGGGACCAATCCCGATCTGTGGAGCGTGGATGAGTGTAGCGTTAAGAAACGATTTATCTGCGAAAAACCACAAGGTAAAGCAGATAATTTTCTGTTTCCAATATAATATCGAATATCATTATGCTGCCATATACAGAGGTGGATTCGGGATGCTTGATTTCCCATTTTGTGGAAAGTTTTTTCAAAAGAATGCAAAATAGGAAGATCATTAGCAGATCCGCTAACGAGCACGCAATGCACATTCGAAATTGAAGTGACAGACACCGCCAGCTTTTTTCTTTCTTTTTTCAGAGGACTAACGTCAAAACAAAATAGCCGAACATTGAAATATAATAAATAATAATAAATAATACTCAGTTTTTATATAGAGCTTATTACCATCACTAAGCGCTTTCAAACTTGGAGATTATTACCCCGGCTTGTTCAACATATTCAAAGTAAATACAAATAAATTGTACACTATAAAATAATACCGTACTATCCGTTAATATATTTTAAAAAGTGGATGGATTATCAACATCATTCATCATGTGCATGAAGATGAATGAAGATGAGTGTTCTAAAGTGTTTTGAATAGAACATAATTAAAGCAAGAACAAGCTGGAAACAAATAAACGACAATAAATATTAATTGTGTCATAAATTTCCTGCATTTGCCTTTTTTGAACGAATTTTTAGGTACTTGTGCGGATGGGTGGACACTTCATGGGGGAGAATGCTACCAGTTTAATGTGCTCAGGAGAACATGGACTGATGCTAGCTATTACTGTAGTACTCAGGGAGGATGGCTGGGTACCATTTTTGAGTGAGTACAAACATGTCAAATACTGTTACTGCACCTCAATACTCCTCTTTATCTGTTCTCCCTCTGTGCTTGTCTCTCCGTTTTATATGACGTATGTTATTGTCTCTACCTCTACCCTATCACATTTTTACTCTCTTTGTTGATGTCCCTATTTCCTATTATCATTCTGTTTCTTCTCCCCATCTCTCCTTTTCCGTATTTTAACTATTTAATATCTGATTTCCATTGGTTCATCCTTCACCAATCTAGGTTGTGTCGTCTTCTGTTCTGGTTTTCTTCTTCTTCCTTTGTCATGCACATGTATTAGTGATCGAAATTATTTACAATTTTGTTACAGGCCTATGTTCACTTTACTGTTTTATGTTTGATTTTATATGGGTATTATATTGAATTGATTTTTAGTAGATAAATAGAAACAACTAGAGTATTACTGTTTATTTATTCTCATGACCAATAAATTATTAATTTAATTGAACTGAATTGACGATCCTAATATTCAGCACCCGTTTACCAGCAAGTGCGTGATAAATGGATCTTTGGATGACCGCAGCAAAAATGTTCATTCTGTGTAGTGTGTGTCTGTGGTAGGGGAGCAATGATTGCGCGTGTGGGTTTATGATTTACAGATGTTAAAGTCAAATATATTCAATAATGTTTGGGAACCAAAAGACGTGTCCAAGTTCGAACCAGGGGTCACCAGAGTCGTTGTGTAGGCAAAAACGGAACGATGGCCGTAATACTATACCAATTTACATCTTTTTTAAAGAGCGTATCTGCCAGGAAGCGTCTTGAACTGTGTGCTCTGTTTATCATCAGGTGAATAACTTCTTACCTCCTTATTTTCCTTTTATTGTAGTGGTGCAGAAAATACTTTCATTGCCGCAAACATGGGTCGTCTCCAAGATGAAAATATTGACAGCATGTGGATTGGATATTCAGGTAGGTGCTAATATTTCCGTGACCATATAATATGATTGTTACGTCATTAATGCAATTTATTAATTACAACATATCATTTGTTTAATAATTTTTATCAACGTCCCGTATTAAGAAAACGTTGTAAAATAACGTAGTGAATAGTCTACGTGTTTGCTTGATTAAGATTCTTGTTCGGATGAATTGTGTTAATGTTACACTTTGCTAAAAAATTATGACTCTGCTTTAAAGCACCCTTCTGCGTCAAATGTTTATTAATCTATTTGATGGAAAAAATATGTTCATCTTCGAATAATTTTCTTGATTGATATCGTCCTGAAAACTTGGAATTAATTTGGTTGCAGTAATCTCTCTACTTGTCCCTCTAAACAAACACGGGGCTGAGATCGAGAATGGAGCAGACCCGTGAAATAACTGGAATATTTTGAGCCGTAGATGACCGAAAAGTTACCCAATGACAAGTGTCACCTAAATAGGTTTTGATATGTGTTATTGTAAATACTTGAAAATTTGTGTTTTGTCATTAATCTTTTTTTTAGGTAAGTACATTAAGCACCCCGTGCTCTTGGTGGTTATGTTGTACACTTTTATTGTCTGCAATAATTATAATCATTGTTATCATTTCATTACATTAATATTATTATTATTATTATTATTATTATTATTATTATTATTATTATTATTATTGTCCAGAAATTTAAACCTTTTATCTACTCTAGATTATATCAATGATGGGCAATGGCAGTGGGTGCATGAGACCGGATCTGACTATGTCAATTGGCCACAACAGCCCACTAATACTTATGCTCAGGAAGACTGTGCCTATCTCGATACAGGTATATATGAAACATATGCAATCCTAAACGTGTACCAATCACCTAAACATAGTTGTTAACAGCTAGAAAGTATAAAGTATAGTATAGTCTACTCACAAGTGGCTTTCATCTTGATTCAATTTGAAATATCTATTTAAAGAAATAATATTCGGAGCTTTCATTGTTACTATAGTGTGGCGAGATGGAGCCCCTAAAATTCGGCGCAGAAATATGTTTGGTACATGTTTTCACTATTGATGTAAGGGATTTGAGACGCCTATAAATAGTCAAATATCTCATCTACAAAGATATATGGCAGCTTAAAAATTACCTTTACAGTTTCATTAATTTTGTTGATTCTTCGACATTTAGTTCACTGATGATCACCCCCTTGTACAGTATAGAGGTCATAGATCATTAAGGTTTATCTAGGGCGAAGAAGAGGACAAGTAGGTGTGTGGGTGAGTGTGTGTGTGTGTTACTGAGCGTGTGCGTGTGTATGCTTATGGCAGCTCCAAATTACCGTTTGGGTCAATATATTTATGGATATTGAAACATTACATTAAGGGGTATAAATTAAAAGGGATCCGTTAAAAACGATCGCATTCACGCCACTGAAAGTACTTCATAATTATGTCTAAAAAATAAAAGCTGGCTTTATTACCGCCATTTTGTATTATAAACGCGGATTTGGGTTTTTTGTTGGTTCTTTTTTCAGCTGACACGACAGGAGCATGGAACCAAATGCTATGCACTCTATTGGCTGGATTTTTCTGCAAGATCAAGGCTGGTAAGAATATTATACAAATATACGAAGCTGTCAGAAAGAATAGGCGAAATTATCTATCTGAGGAGGGACTAGCAAATTACTATTTCCGAGGGGCGAAGCCCCGAGGAAAAAATTATAATTATTGCAGTCCCTCCGAAGATATATAATTTCCACTATTCTTACGAACTAAATGCTTGGTATATTTGTTTTATATCACTTCGTTACGATCCGAACGTTTGATTAATGATTGGCTGGCAGTATGGTTTTTAACTTTATATGTCACCCACATTGGGTATCGGAGAAGTTTATAATCAGTAGGCGGTGTCACACAGAGGCCAAAAATCCGGATTTTAGTTATCCGGTTTTTTATTATCCTCTTTTTGGCTGTCTGACATCAATTATCCCTTCAAAAATCCCTTCAAAAATCCCTTCAAAAAACCTCATATAAAGCAAGATAATTCTCTCTTAAAAGGATTTTTCAAGGGTTTTTTGAAGGGATTTTTCTGACACCAATGTTAAAATAATCCCTTTTAATAAGCATTGTGACATAAATCACACGTTTAAATGCGCGCATTTAAAAGTGTGATGTCACAATGCTTATCTACCTAAACGACGCATATACTTTCGATTGAACGTGTGATGTCACAATGCTTATCTACCTAAACGGCGCGTGCGCAATGGCCCATCAAAAATACGGATTTTAGTTATCCGGGTTATTCGTAGCCTGTCTGTCACCGACTCAAATGAAAAAACTAGATTTCTAAAATCTGGTTTATTCAAGATGGGTCAGGATTTTTCTGTGTGACACCGCCTAGTTTGAATTTGTCAATTTAACCTGCGTACAGTTATATTAACGCGCATTTAATGAGACGCGCTAATTGCGCATTATTTTTGACTGAACATGATGTGACGTCACAATGCTTTTCTACCTTAAATCTCATACAGCATGCGCAGTTCTGCCCACATGAAAAAATAGTGGAAAATATTCGGAGCTCTGGCAGCGCAGAGATTTGTTTCAAATTGTGAAATTATATTTAATCACGTGACCACCAATTGACCACTCAAGTATTTAGAAAACTTATGAATATTCATAGCAGGGATATAATATAGTATTAATGACTGCTTTGAGAGAAATAGTTGTTTTTATACGCTCAAGGGAAGGTTAGAATTGTGCTATTGCCCCGAGGCGTGCCGAGGGCAATAGCCCAATTGTAACCTTCCAGAGAGCGTATAAAAACAACTATTTCTCGAATATTAAAGCAGTCATTAATACTTTTATATGCCGAAAAAAAATAGACTAAAAAATAAAAAATAAAAAACAAAAAAACTTTTGTCGAAGATGGGATTCGATCTCTTGCGTACAAAAGGTGATGTAACTCAAATCAGCGCCTTAAACCGCTCGGCTATCGCGCTCTGTTACCATACTTTACATTTTTCTCTAATATATACATTAAAATGGATTGAAAACGGCTTCGCGTGATTGATGATTCGCGGCTGCTCCATTAATCGGGCCCTTCTTTTACTTTTGCAATGCATATTGGCACGAACTTAGATCAAGATCTATCGGCAGATGTTGTTTTTTTGTTTTTGGAAGTTTATTTTCGTCTTCATGTCAACAATGCAAGATAAAATTGTCGGTAAGATCGATCGAGATTCAATTGCATTGAAATTACCGACCAATTCTTCGCACACGTACGGTATCCTCGATCGCTCAAACCATTTTTTAACATGTAAACCTATGGGGTAACCATGGAGACTGACCTATTTTCCCAATAACCATGGTTATTGGGAAAATTAGGTCTGTTTTTACAGGAACAGTTAAAGTTTATGAATGCAATTTCGACCAATCAGATTGCTGGATTACTTAAGTGAGGTATTTAAAACTTGTTATTCATTGATTCGTAATTTTCATCGATATGAAATCTTTTCTAAGGACTAAGAACATTTTTTTCTTACAAAATTGACAGTACTGTAGATTCCATTATAATTCTTCTCCAAGTGAATCAGCTGTCAATTGATAATATATTGTATGGAGTCACTTTGGTGCTCACGGGATATGGGCGCAGGGTCGGACAATAATGTTGCGACAAATATATAACCCCCAAATCACAACAACAACAAAGTAGTGTGAAGTAGGGTAATTTTTTTTTCTGACATGAAATCTAATAATCTGGTTTTTAAAATGAATCTTTCATTATTACAGAAAGGGTTCTAAAATCTGATGAATGATGTAATGCAATATTACTAATAAACTCTGTTGCTAAACTTGTTTATTTACGTTCTGTTTCAGGATCAACCGTGACACCAGTGACAGCCCCAGATAGTAAGTATATAATAATAACATAGTTTAAATCTTCTAAGAACTTTATTGATCAATCTCTATGACACTTTAGATTGATCAATACAGATGCGAGGAGATAATTTATCGAACACGAATCCAATATTATTAAAATTATTTTATTTTATGAAAAGAGGTGAGACAAAATATTCCGACTTTATGAGCAACAGTTTAAAAACAAAGTTGTATCTTTAAAGACCACGACGAACGATACTGGTGACCCTTTAATGTTTTAATCTTCAGAGGTTGGATCATGTGAGCGTGGTTGGGGTCTGTACGACGAATGGTGTTACTACTCCCCCGCTGTTGAGAAGACCTTCACGGAAGCCGAAGCCGAATGTGCTGCTTTGTTTTCGGGTTCACATCTGGCCAGTATCCATTCCATCGGAGAACAATCCTTCATCACAGGTAAGAAATCATTATTATCACGTTATAAATGTTAGGTATCATGACCGAAGAGATTTTTAGAAAAGAAAAGAAAAGATAAGCGAAGATTAAACAAAATTGAGTTTTCTAATTTTATCTAATACTATATTATTATAGAATTATAGAAACCATACACGCTTTAGATTGATGACACAGATCGATTGATAACTATCCGTTTACAGAAAGACTATATTACATCAACGCCTGGACATGGATTGGTCTAACAGATGTAGATGAAGAAGGTACCTGGAAATGGACTGATGGAACTAACGTAAGTTTGCATTGTTTAATGTTGTTAACCCTTCGTCTATCTCCCAATCATTGAAAGAGAAAAAACAATAAATAGAGCGTCTTATCATGAATACCAAAATATGTCATAAAAATATTAAGTACTGGTCGCATTAATTGGTTTGAAATATACGAGTGTCTTTCTTTGTCCACAAATATTTCATTATAAATTGCAACAAGGTTAATTGGTTAATTTTTAACAAATTGTACTTTTTTTCTGAAAAAGTGTAAACGACAAACACGGTAAAACAAAATGCATATAACACAATTTTATTGCCATTTAAAATTTAGAATTTAGATAACAATTTAATTTAAATAAAGGTATTTTGACTTTTCTTCGTCTTCTCATCTCCCCAACACCACCACCACCCACCTCTCTCTCTGACTTGTTTTCCTCTTCGTTTCCGCTACGATGTATCCCTTTCCCGCTATAATATCTTTCCCGCCACTCACCCTTCCTGCCAATACTTTCTCGTCCCATTCTTTGATATCCGTACGCTCCTTCTATGGCTATCATATAGTTTGATTATATAAACTGGACCCCTGGCGAGCCCAGCAATAGTTATAGCAACGAAGACTGTGTCCACTTAGACGACTAATTTTATAAGATTGGAACGTGGAATGATGTCAAATGCAACAAACTTTACAGATTTATTTGTAAAAAGTCAAAGTAGAAGCCGAGTGACCCTCAGCTGCAAAAGGCATTGCCACGCCGTACTGTTATGCACATTAAAAGTGAATCTCTCGTAAAAAGTGGGAGATTAAAAATTGTCATGAAGAGTGCCATCATGTAACATGGCTTTCAAACGCGAATTATAAACATATCCTAAAACCGACAGCTCAAGAACAGTCAGTAATGTTGTCCCATGTTTGTATCTGAGTGATTCCAAAACTAATTCGTGAGAGACGTGGTAGGGGGTGAGGAGGCGGAGAATAAAACTTAGAGAAAGGGAATTGAGGAAAATTACTATTGAAATAACTCCAGCGATTCATTAATCCTTTATGAAAACCCAAATTGCGCCTTGTTACAGGACAACCTCTTAGAATTTATCTCCATGCCATGTTCTCCGCCTTCTCGTAAAATTTAGTACAATTACTGGAATTGGGCCGCTGGTGAACCAAACGATGTCAACAACGAAGATTGTGTGCATCTTGGATATTTTGACGACCATCAGATAGGCTTGTGGAACGACGTAGGGTGTCTCGAAATTAACAGATATATCTGCAAAATGCCGAAGTGTAAGTTATCATCCGAGGACAAAGAAAGAAACATTCAAATATCGAATTTGATAATACCTTTTCATCACTTTTAATGTATCAGATTAAGATCACCTGTACAGAAAATTAACGAAAATGATAATATTCAGTTGATATCCAATACATGACACTAGAATTGTTGTTTGTTGTTCATCTGGGCGAAAGTGTCAATCAGTCGTTCTTGTTCTTTAATTTGTTTGAAAATAAAAATTGATCTTAATCTGAAAGTGAAAATGAATGCGTTCGTTGAACTCTCCACAGATAACACTGCTCCTGTCACCCAGGCTCCGGCTATAACACGTAAGTTGTGAAGAAAAACATATAAGTAGTAGTAGCACTAGTAGTAAAGTGGCAGCATCAACCACAGTATAATAGTAATAGTATTATTAAAGGTAGTTGGAGTAGTTTTAGTAGCAGCAGTAGTAAAAGTAGAAGTAGTAGTAAAAGTAGTAGTAGTAGTAATAGTAGTAGTAGTAGTGGTAGAAGTAGTAGTAGCATTAACCGTAGTATAGATGCTTGTTTGTTTATTTTTCATTATTATTATCATTATTATTATTATTGATATCATTATTAGTACTTTTAGTAGCATTTTATCATCATCATTATTAATATCATCATCATTATTATTATTATTATTTCTCTATCATTATTTATATCATTTTTCCTTCTTACCCAGTTCCTCCTAGTGATCGTTGTGGTAGTGGTTGGGTATACGATTCTGGTAGTAATAACTGCTTCAAATATTCGACCTCTGGACTGACCTGGCCCATGGCAAATGACCAATGCCACTACGAGGGTGGCTATCTGACTAGTATTACTAACCAAGCTGAATCGGAATTCCATCGCAGTAAGTTTAAAGAAGACGTTGAAATATGATGAAGATGAGAAATAGGTTTTGAGCTTTCTCATTCTGTTGACGTCAGTTTGGAAGATTACTATATGAAAAATGTCACTTGAAAGGGATTTGTCTTCAAATGCAATCATATTTAAAATGTAAAATACATCGATTTCTGTGCGCAGTGCTTAGGATTTCTGACAAGACCGATTCCATTTTTTATCAAAGATTCCATTAAAAATTTGCCCTTGAATTGGTCTCTCCAAAGTCTTTACCATAGTTGTTATTATACATTTACAGATATCACATCTAGTCTTAAAGGACTATATACAATTATGAGGTGACCTGCGAGAAAAATGTGTTGAAGAAATTGATTGACAGATTTGACAAATGACCCAAGTTCCCTCATTTACGAAGTCTATTTTGTAATGGAGTAATCCAATTACAGCTATTAGTATTACACATTCTCATCTAGATCTCAAATTATAGCAGGAATGGATTAACTTATTGGAGTATCTTCTCTCATTTATTATATTTTTTCTTCATTTTAATCAGTTTGCGTGTCTCGTGGACTAATCACCATACTGTGGATGACAAGGTGATTAATGTCCCTTAGCAAGACATTAATCGTCATTTGCCTTTTTTAGGCCAAAAAAAAAAATAATTTGGTTGTCCTCGATTGCTTTTCTGGAGTAGGGGCGGGCGGCCGGATTTTAATTTTTTTTTTTTTTTTAACTTCTTTTTTTGTGTGTCTTTTTTTGATTATTTTAAATATTTTGTTTCAATTTGTGTTTCCATTAAAAAAAAATCATTGGGATGTCAAGCATTTAAACAAACAAAGTATATAAAACACTTTAATATGGTAAAAGACTAGTTTGATTTTAAACTCCATTGTACTACTTATAGCTACGTGCACACTCTATATAGCAAACAATGCATATTTGGTGACCATTGGTTCCCCATGATCCTCTTTATCTTATGTTAACTGAGAGCTGATTTGATGAGATAACCACCTGTCCAGTAACCTTACAGGGTGGTCTAATCCCTCCCGTAAACTAGTACAGATGGGCTTTAAAATGAGTTTAAGAATGCTCAGAACCTGATTTGAATGAACGGCATTTTGACATAGAAAAATAAAAATGGCAAGTTTAATAAATACAGAATTGCGTACTGAAAAGACCAAACTGGCAACGGGACGCATTTTGTTCCTTGCAAATGTATAAAATGGTATGTTTGGCATTTAAGATTGCTCCCCCCAAAAAAATTAAATAAAACAACAACAAAAAAGAAAAAAAATGAATAAAAGAAATTGAATACAAAAAATAAAAAAATACGAGCGGCCCGAAAATGACGAGCGGGCGGTCGAGGACAACCAAATTATTTTTGGGGGGCCTTAACGTAATGTGTATACCTAGTTTGGCAGCTTGACCCGCTCCAGGGTAGTACTGTTTAGACCTTGTCAAATCTGCCATGAGAAGTCTTTTGGCTAAACATTTTTCACATCTCAAATTCAGCTATTTATATTTTCGTTATTATATTGTAACCGACAGTGTCTGTACTCTACTTCAAATTGAATTACAACATATGGTCATTTTGGATCGGTCTTCATGATACTAATATGGAGGATGGTTATGTTTGGAGTGATAGCGCCCCCGTCTCTTATCTCAACTGGGACTCAGGTATTATCATTATTATTACTATTTTTATCGTATCATTGTAGAGGTATCGTGGTATAGATGTTCATTCGCTTGACTCTCAATCCAGGGGTTAAGGGTTCGAATCCCGCCCGGCACTAATGCCCATTGGTAAGACATTGGTCCACATGAGCCACTCTCCATCCAGGTGTAAATGGGTACCTGGCAAATGATGAGGTAATGATAGTTTCAGGGCCTTCAGAAAGAACAACGTTAATGTTGATGACGCTTCCCTGGTTGAACAATCCAAATTTTATACTATCATCGTCAATTTCATTATACTATTTGTACTGCACCCTGTCTGTAAAAGAGACTTGATAGTCCTGGAGCCATTTTTGGATATACCAAATACCTGTGTGTATACATGTATAGGTTGTCGGCGTTATAATTCTCATTAAATGTTTCCAATATTGATATGCATGTGACATCAAAAGTTATAATTGTGAGTAAAGTTGTTTTATATTAGCAGGCCCACATACTGACTTCAAACGAATCAACGATCAATCGGGTTACTTAATTAAGTGAATTTTAGTAATTTCTTTTCATACAAACTTTCAAAGGTCGTGGTTTGAGCCACAGCACACAAAGTTGCATTGCTTCTAACGAACTGGGTATTAATTGGATAGGATACATAACTCGTTGCAGGTGGATGTTCATTACATTCATATGCAATGATCACCAGGCTTTATAAAGAGTAGAGTTGGAGTTGGGTAATGTCGTATTTGAATCCAAGATAATACACTGTAAAACTCTTCATCAGTTACTTGTTACTGGAAAGGTGGAACATGACAACATTTATTATCATTATTAATATATATATATATTCTTCATGGGAACCAAATGATGCATATGACGGTGAAGTTTACGTAACTTGAGATCCTATGTCATAAATGATCATTATAATAATTATCATTATTACTATTTTATTGTGATTTTCAGGGGAGCCCAACGATGCTTATACCGGTGAAGATTACGTTGAGATCCTATGTGCTAATGGCAAATGGAATGACCTGCATGGCGATGTATCAATAGGTTACTCCTGCAAGAGAAACAGTACGTGCTTTTTTAAAAACACATCTTATATCATATTCGTTGGGTATCTCACTGTATATGTTTTTCTTACTTCTCCGTTTACAAATGTGTTGCTCGGTTTAGGGTCAGACATTTAAGGTTACCATTGATAACTTCATCCGCAAAACTATCACGTTGTTTGTATTGTATAATGTAGCATTTCAAAACACGAATAGCTGGTTACGATGACTTTATAGTGCTTATTATTCATAAGTTATCAGTTTGAAATTAACATTAAGTAAATGATTTAACATTTGGATATAATATATTAGGGTTGCCGATTAAATTAAATGATCACTGTCGTTCCAATTATCTTCCTGTTTATTTTGATATTTCAAGAACATCGTCTTCACTGACTAAGCCGCCTCCCCCCCCCCCTCCCGCCATGCACAGGCCAAGAAGTAATGTATGGCATAACAGGACATTGTGACGTCATTTTATATATTACATCCCATTCAGGTTTCATTACGGATCAGTTCAAAGTGTTCCCCAACAGCCGCTTGGACACACCGAACTCGATCCCCTTCTCCAACGTATGGCCAGAGGAGTGTGCTGCTAGCTGCTACAGTGCTGGTGGAGAAAACTGCAGGTCTTTTAATTACTACCGCAAGACACGCGAATGTTCTCTGCTATCTATCGATCAGTACTCAGGCTCCGCAGATCTGGTGCCAGAGAATGAAGATCCTTATGATTACTATGAACGAGGTATATCATATCGAAAGGACATCCTAGTTTATATGAAATAATTCAACTGCGCGGAACAAAAGGTCCTGCGCAGATTTTCTGAACGAGCGATAGATGATTAAGGAAAAGCCAGCCATGTATATACGATATCATAAACTTGACATTTAATTAATAATTCCATACTATGAGTGTTTTAAGATACTGAGCATGTGAGATTCCGGCTCCAATTTGTTTTCCAAAGGAAAATACTATGCTCTCCCGCAGGTATTTCTTTATGAAGAATTTGTTAAAATATAAAAATATAATCCACTTAAGTTATTGACGGAAAACTGATTGCACCAAAATCCAAATGGGCATGCTCAGTTGTGATTCAAGGACTCTACATCAGGTAAGAGAAATCTTATCTCATTCTATTGCACAAAAACTGATCTCCACTTAAGAAAATAGATGAAATCGTTCGAGCCAAAAAGTAATTTAAAAATTGTTCAATGGCTTTCATTAAGAGGCATTTTGCTCCATGAAGTTCCATTTTAAATATAATTTTTAGTAGACTGATTGTTAAAGGGTATTGCATCATTCTTTTATGTTTTGTGCTTTGAATTATTCATCCATTATTCTAAGCATTTCCCTATCTATCAATTCTTTAGACTTCACAGCGCCAGCCATCCAAGTGCCAACAACCATCGGTCCCTCGTATGGCTGTGGAAAGGGTGAGACTGGCTACCGCAGCTACTGCTATACCTTGGTTACTTCAGTGTCAACCTTTGATGGCATGCAGAGTATCTGTGAACTCCGCAGCGCTAACCTGGTCTCCATCGCTGACGCTAGCGAAATGAACTTTGTCATCAGCTTGATGCAGACTGGTAAGAAGAAAAAACGTTAAGAACCCACTGCACTATTCGTATAATAGTAAGGAGAACCCGTCTGTTGTCCTGCACACCCCCATTGAGTTAAACCGGGAGGAGAGACTCCGAAAGTTATAGTGATTCAGTTCGCTTTTCGCCTCCCAGGCGCAGGTGACGACAAATACTTAATAATAATGACAATGGTTTTACAACTTTTGTTGATTTACATATCACCTTCATTATCATCTCGATTAATACGATTGGAAGATCACCCCTTCCTCTAGAAAACAGAAATGCATTCACAACAACACTCTTCTGATCTGTTTTCGCCATAACAGGCAATACCGCGACCACTACGATAGGCTCAGCTTGGTTAGGTCTGTCTGACAAGGCAAATGAGGCGACGTACGCTTGGAATGATGGTAGTGAGGTCACCTATACAAGCTGGGCAGCAGGACAGCCTCAGAATAGTGGCAGCGACGAAGACTGTGTCACCCATAATATCAACGTAAGATCTGAATCCTTTATGGCTACCTCTCAATGCCATACAATTGTATTCTCAAAAATATGAGTTTGAAATCCCCAAAGATATTCTTGAAACTTTTACAAGACAGAGCGACGTTTCTGATCGGATACAGTTTTGACTAATCAATAGCAAGACGCACACAATTTACAAACGTACCAAAATTCATTCTTTCTTTTAAAATGTTTGATGTTTCGACCGCAGTTCTCGATTGCTGGATGGCTGACTTTAAATTTGTCTTATCTCCCTCGACAACATTGACCCACATGGTCCTGTCTTGTTAAGAGTTGCGACTTTAATACCTGGGTTGATCTCAAGTCCTCCAATCAACCGCAAACTTGTAAACTCATGTACATACTTGAAAATGAATGTTGCTGTTGATGAGTCCTTTGAAAATTTGTCTCAATATTGTTTTCAATCCATTGCAAGAAATAGGTGAACTGAATCAACATTTAAAAAACATATGGTGGCTTGCTAGAACTATTCACTTTTGGCCAACATTCCTAGGCCCTGTGCATCATAAAGATATAATTGTCTCCTAATAACGGCAGATTTTTTTTTTATATTAAGGGGTACCCTCTGAGCAAATTGTTCGGACCATTTAAAATAATACTTCCACTGGTAAATCTTAAAATGAATCGTTGCTTTATTTATATTAGTGTTTACTTGAACACAAATCAGTTTGTATCTTAGTTGATTTGGTATAGTTGATCATTTTATATTCCTGTCTCTTTCTATTTCGTCTTCTCTTATCTACAACATGTCAGCAGATTGTAATTCTTTGTTTACGTTTTCTCCTTGTTTCATTTCTAGTGTTAGGTGGCAACTAATTGCTTCATGAAATTAATGTGACTGAATGTTATTTGAACCAAGGACATCAATGAATTAACCAATCAAACGTTATTATATTCCTAGTTGGATGGCTGGCTTGATGAGTCTTGCACTGGAACCCAACATTACGGCGTCTGTAAAACACCTAAAAAAAACACTAATGTTGTAGCACCAGTAACTGACGGTTGCCCAACAGTAAGTACAACCATAGAACATTCTCAAGTACTTGAATACATACGTCTATGTAATACACAGCATTTAACACAGCACGATTGTCATTCTTCATCAAGAATGACAAGATACGAGTGTAGGCTTACACTAAATAAAAAGTTTCATATCTAGACTAGATACAGTCGGCCAATTCAGATCGCAATGCTTTAATAGCCCTACCATCTGACTGATGTTATGTTATCATCAGTTTGGTTGCCAGTGTAAATGGCCCTTCGAGTCGGGGCTGGTATTTCCGAGGCACAAGGCCGTTGCAAACTATTGAATTCCATAGATTATGTACTCGTGACTACGTCTAAGGCCAAGGATCCAAAACCAGACCTGAAGACAGCACTGTTTTTCATCCATCATGTTTAGTCAAAACACAAGATCGAAGACTCTAATCACACAATTCGTCAAGGTAGTGTTATGTAAAATTTGTCTGTGAAAATTAAGTATGGATAATGCTTACCATGTGTTTTGTTTTAAGGGGTGGTTGAAGTACATGTCGTCGTGTTACCAGCTGGTAACTACCCAGAAAACTTGGACTGATGCAAATACAGACTGTGTGAATAAGAATGGTAGACTTGCCATCATCAATAACAAGTAAGTCCTTCTTCAACTCATTCTTTAAGCGTATTTGAAGGGGCAGGGTGGCAGCTTTGCCCCCACCGAAGACTCTTATGTACATGTTGGTATGTTATGACACATTCAACTACATAATGCTTGTAGGAATATAATATTCTGGGGAAATTATGGAAATTTCTTGCATAACCGAGAACCTACTTTTTACATGCGAACGATGTACCGTCCTAAATTAATTTGAAAGATCATCGAAATTTTAACCGTCATATTTAACAGGTTTTTGTCTGTAATTTCTTCTCCTGCTCCTTTCCGCTCTTCTTGCTTTCCCCTCACTTGCCCCATCTCTTCACTCTAATTTCTACTCATGTTCCTTCCTATTCATCCCCCTCCCACACTTTTATGATTTTGAATAACCATTGTGCACTCGCAGACGACATTGATTCATTTTCATAAGCTGATTTTCATGTCTCTTGCTAACGTTTCAGATACGAGCAGGCATATTTGGCTTCGGTAATGGGCGCCATTTATACTTACTCTTTCGACTACTGGATCGGATTGAGTGATACAGATATTCCGGGTACTTACCTGTGGGTGGATGGCTCGTATCCGATACTATCCGCTTGGGCACCAAGTCAACCGGGTAAGCCTCACCGTTAAGGCTCGTTCAGGTATGACGCGGTAAACCACCGCGGTTCGTTAACAAATTGTCAACTGCGCGCAGCATACCCAACATACAGAAAAAAACGTCGCTAATCAGATTTGTACATCATGTGCGTTTTTAATCTGAGAACTTTTTGTATATTTTTAGCATATGGCCTTTTAACTTTGAGCATCAAATAATGTTTTCTAATAAATCTACTGAACATGAAATAACACTGAAGGCAATAAGCAGGACTAGATAAAATCGTGATGACGAGTTCATTTTTCTATTTCTTTATTTCATGATCATCATCATGAATTCAAATGTATCAATGGTTTTTTAAAGTGTGGCGGTTTGACATGAAATGATATCAAACACCATAATAACAGTAAAGTGCAACAAAAGATGCATACATACAAATGTTTTAATATATCGCAAAACCCAATGAAATATTGCAAAATGCGCTGTAAATGATAAACTAATGCTACGCAGACATATAACCAAAATTGAAGTGTAGAATGAGGCAAGCATCGGGTTTGATTTTATGATACCATTGCATGACAAAACCAAAGTTATATGATTATAACACTTTTTGTGATTTATTTTTGTGACTAAAACCCATTTTCTTGATATTGAAATATATTGATCTCTCTCAACCAGACAACTATTTGGGTGACTGCGTGGCTTTGATAAGTGCTGCGGATGGGATTGGTAGCAACGTAGCCGGTCTATGGTTTGATGAGAGATGTTATAAAGAACATAACTACATCTGTGAGAGGCCAGTAGAGGGTACTACCGACACCCCTTACACCCAAGCTCCAGTCACCGTCCCATCTAATGCTGGGTGCACCGATGAGAACGCCATAGGTTACGGTTCAAATTGTTTTATCGTAAGTTTGGCACGCCTTTTCATTATGTCGCGATCAACCGATGATGTTGTTTGTATTATGAACTTAATAAAATGAATGGCAAAATGGGGATGACTAAACCGTTTTACTGAGTTTTATTAATACTTTATCATGCCACTCTGTACAGGAGCCTAATATTGTACAAGCCTTGCATTTCATTTAGGCTTCTAAATTTTAACATTATTGTTTGTTTGTTATATTATACATACTTCCCCCGAAACAATATACCCTCTCAAATATACGGATCCTTACGATTTGGCCACTTTTACGACCGATTTAAGAGTTGTTACGAGTTTTAACGAGCTATTAACGGTTCATTACGGATCATTACGAGTTACGTATTTACGGCAAAACTCCACGATTTGTTACGAGTTGTCACTTATAACCACAAACAACTCGGACATTTTCGAGCTTTTTATGGATTGTTTCGAGTATATTATGGAATGTTACTATTCATCGAAGCTTTTACGTGTTAGTTACGACCTGTTTACGTGTTGTAACGAATAATTACGAGTTAGTTACGAGTATTTACGAGTCCTTATAATTTTGCAGCTCTTACACCTTTTCCCAAATCGTAAAGAATACGTAAGAATACGTAAAGTATACGTATCTATTCGTAAAGTACTCGTAACTACACATAACGTGCTCGTAAAAACTCGTAACAATCGGTCGTAAAGCCATCGTAACAAAACCCAAATGAAATCTTAAACAACATGTAACACTCGTAATAATCCGCAAACAAATCGTTAGTTTACGGATTCTTGCGAGCAGTTAACGGAGGGTTGCGTCTTGTGAAGTGGTTATTAAAGGGGGTACTACTTATTCACCGTACATTATACTTAATTTAAGTTATCTATATTTATTTTTATGTTATTTTTCAGTTTGAATGAATATTATTTGCTTTTATTTAAATATGGAACAAATAAATTTCAAACTTCTAGCCATTTGAAAGGAATGCCGTGGAGCAGATCACTTGGGACCAGGCTAGAACCTATTGCCAGGAAATGGGAGGTGACTTGGCCAGTTTCCAAACCAAAGAAGAGGAAGCCTACATAGTGAGCAGTTACACGCCGACGTAAGCCAATTATAATATTTCTTGTTAACGGATTAGTCAAGAGATAAAACATATTTAAACTATAGCAGAACGACTCCTTAATTATCTATTATGTCTGTGACGTCAGAAAAATGTCTTATTATTTTCCCGCTCACATGTAGCAAAGTGACTGAAGCAATCTTTTATCGTAGTATTCAGTACTCATAAGAGATAAAACATATTTATACTATAGCAGAACGACTCCTTAATTATCTATTATGTCTGTGACGTCAGAAAAATGTCTTATTATTTTCCCGCTCACATGTAGCAAAGTGACTGAAGCAATCTTTTATCGTAGTATTCAGTACTCATCACAAGGGTTCTGTTTCAGTTGGTACGCTCCGTCATTCCTAGAACAAAGATAATACATTTAAAGGAAAAAAGGCAGGAAGTCAAAGATTTAAAAAAATGATAATCCTTACCCACAGGACCCACATATTTCCTTACAATCCACAAGATATACAACTATATAACATCTTTCAACTCTTTAACAGGGATTATTGATCTATGGTTTACTTATATATATCAAGCATGTTTCAAGATTAAATAAAATAAGAATTTATTATCCATTCGAAGGTTTGTTTTCCCCTTGTATTAATACATTTGTGAAAAGATATTACAAATAGAAAAATTATGAGAAGTTAATCTATTCCTTAACAGCTACAACGCAAAATAAAATCATAATCACTTGTGAGTAAAAAAATATGATAAACGATTAGATGATTGATTTACGTTTATGATCTGCAGAGATCCTGATACTGCCAGCTATGGATTCTGGATAGGACTCAACGACAAATCACGAGACGGAGGTACGTAAAGATAGGCTGAGACCGGCAGCTCACGAGACCGACATCCCACGAGACCGACAGCCTACGAGACCAACACCTCATGAGACCGGCAGCTCACGAGACCGACATCCTACGAGACCGACAGTCTACGAGACCAACACCTCATGAGACCGGCAGCTCACGAGACTGATACGACATGAGACCGACACCCCACGAGACCGACAACCCACGAGACCGACAGGGGGAGGGGTTTACTTTCAATTTACTGATTGCTGCATAATGTATCATGAGAAGTTTTAAAGGGATATTTTATTGTAATTAAAGAGGGATAAGAAAGTGTGTGTGAGATAGAGAGAGAGAGAGGGGTAGGGGGTAGGGGAATAAGAGTTTTAGAAAGACATCACGAGGAGAATATTTGCCCCTTTTAATACGTTCCTTTCTTTATTTCTGTTTTTTATTTTTATTTTTGAATACGCTTATTCAGGTTCTTTATTTTTCGATATGCTTTAATTGCCTCGGGCTTGTAATCATCGCATTTATATTCTTTTTGATACATTAAGGAAATCGATATTGTTGGTTTTCTCAATTCATTAATATTTACCCTTGAAGGCATTGTTTAACAATGCCAAATCTGAAATGCATGGAATTCCTTCCTGACCTAAAGGTTTATAATTATGATTTGCAGCATGAGCTAATTCTAGGATTTTATTTAGAATTTGAGACAAAGATCAAATTTCCCTTATATCATATTTTAGGTTACATTTGGAGTGATGGTTTGGCTGTAACATATGTTAACTGGGGAAGCGGTGAGCCTAATGATTTTGATGGTACCGAGAACTGTGCCGAGATGTTTTTCAGTGGACGAGGATGGAACGATCACCTATGCACTGCCACCAGAAGCATTCTCTGCAAAGTACCGAAACGTGAGCATAAAACACTCAGTCTTTGAAATGAAATCATATATTATTAATTTCAATTATGGCAACATTTTGATATTGAATAAAAGGTCGAATAGAACATACGTACTTGAATTTAATTTACTTCAAGTTTTTTTAGGGGAGAGGCCCACATTTTATTTGAGAGTTTTGTGGTATTTCTTTACACCATCTTCGGTATTTTTAAAGAGTCGATCAAACTAGTTATTTATGTGATTTAAAATGATAATTCTATTTCAAAGGGCCATGTCGGTATTAAAATGTTTAATTGTTAATATAGAGTTCTAGTCGTCATTAAACCAGGGGAAAACATTAATTTATGATTGTCCAGTAATTTGGCCTGGAAATGAACCCTCTTTTTTAATAGAGGGGCGAGGACAGGCCTTTATGAGGTCTTTGGGATATTTATCTGTTTGTACCGTGATCCTAATATACGTCTCTTTTTTAATTATATTTACTTTACAGAGATCAAAGAGCCCACTACAATTCCACCAAGTAAGTTTTGATTTGTCTTTCTTATTTCTGCAATCAAATAGCATTAGATTAAAAAGAGATTAAGTCACAGACTATCATGAAGAACGAATGTCTAATACATACAACATATTACATCTAAAGAAAAAAATACAGATTTTCGCTATAAAGTGAATTGTTTTATCCATTCTGTCTTCTGACCGCCCTTAAATACTTTCCGAAGGCAAATGCTCAGTTTGAGGCTTCATAGTAAGTCGCATAACTATGGGTGTAATTTTTGATTTAATTATCTGTCAACGATTTTTAAACATTTTAGCTCATTTGCAATATCAGACTACCAATCTCACCTTTGTAAGCAGCTTGGAGAATCTGAGGAACATTTTTTTTGTTTACTTGTAAAATTCCCTAACCCCCTCTGCCAAATGATATGTTGCCGCCTCTGAGTCGAATCCTAACAGCGAAAATTACGTCAGTGAAAGATAATGAATGCACCCCACACCAAAAGGGAAAACGAGGACCTAAAATCTAGAGATTGTTTTACGGTAACTTCTTATTTAATGAAATGAGACTGTAATATGGAGGAAACTGAAAGTGAAAGTGATTGAAATTACCATGCTGTCATTGTGACTCAAATGTATGTAAGGAGTATGCATGATTGTCAGATAGGAATGCTTTTCAGAGATCGATTATGAAGATTAATTTTGTATGGTAATTATCATTAATACAAATAGTAACTGTTAGTAAGCACTGTAGTAGTATCAGTAGTATTAGTAGTAGCAGTAGAATTAGTAGAAGTAGTAGTAGTAATAGTAGTAGTAGTAATAGTAGTAGCAGTAGTAGTAGTAGCAGAAAGTATTAGTAGTATTAGTAGGAGTAGTAGTAGTAGTAGTAGTAGTAGTAGTAGTAGTAGTAGCAGTAGTATTAGGATAGTTAGGTTATTATTATCATCATCATCGTCATCGTCATCATCACTATCGTTATTGCCGTTATTACTATATGTATCAATATATTAGTATCATCATAACCATCCAACAGAACAACCATTATATATATCCAAGTAATTCAAACACCGTTTTATTTAACGCTAATCTATTTTATCATTGTTCTCCAGTCGGGACGTGCCCTACCGACTCCGACTGGCAGTATTTCCCGCCATATTGCTATTACTTCAGTGACGTTGCTGGGTCAAACGATAGACTAAGCTGGACCATGGCTGAAGAATTCTGCCACCAAAAGGGGGGTCACCTGACATCAATCACAAGCAGCACTGAGAACAAGGTTCTCATTGCAATGGTATATATATATACAAATCTAATCAAATCAAATCTATTGAAATAAAATCTACGAATTTTGATTGTCTTTAATATACAAGTGCTGACAGGAATAGAATCAAAACACTTCGGTAGCTAATTAATAATTGAAAGGTAATGAAGTATACATAATATACTAAAGTAATGAATATGCAATAACAAAAGGGGAACTAACTACTAAATTTGGGACTACCATCAGTGTGCTAGTAATTGCAAAAGAGAAATCAGCTAAGTTTCAAATCAACGTTGAAACAAACATAAACAGTATGAGTAGTGGCGTAACCATTTTTTCACAGGTGGGAGGGGAGGAGAGAAGGGCAGCTTAAGCGAATGTGCCATTATTAAGTACGAATTTGGGGCTCATGTTTGTTGACAAATTCGAACCAAATATCTAAAAATAATTCATGGGGACCTGCTCCTCCCGTTAGCTTTTGGCTACGCTTACTTTAAATTCCATCTACTAAATCGACTGACTTTACAGAGCTTAGAGCGGATGATCTAAAAATTAAATCATTTTTAAAAATAGGATCCACAATTTTGGTTTGTGATGTTAGCGATTTCTTATGTAATTAAGGTAGTAACTAATAAGAATATGAACGATATCCACAGGTATACTGTAGGCCTATATATAATTTGAAAATGACTTATCTTATTAAGCATATTTCTTTCTCTTGCATAGGCTCCAATAATTGGTGTGAACTACTGGATTGGTCTTCGTCAAGAAACTGCTACAGGAAGTTTCATGTAAACATACAAACCTTTTTTTTTTATATACAAGTTCAAGTTCAAGTTCAAGTTCATTTTTATTGATCATGCACAGTTTAATACAAGGCATCAAATTCGTTTAACGGCTGTTTCTTGAATTTATATAGCATCAATTAACAAACATGATTCCCTTAGTACACAAGCATTGCCATTCTTCTGTGAAAACGCATGTTGATTGCTCAAAATATGATTTATGAAAAGGGATTTTAGTAATTAATTACATTGCATCATATCACACTTGAATACAATGAAATGTGCAAGTCATGGCTCCTTAATGATAGACTTGCTGAAAACTATTCATGTGCATGTATATGTTATACTTATATGTAGTTTATTTGTGTTAAAGAAACACGAAGCAATGGACCAATTAATATATTTATTTCAAATACGTCTGGTTTCTCGTCATATATTTTTAAGAAGATTAAAGAACATGAAACTAAGAGAAAGATTTTACTTATTGGTATTAATTTGACCAAACGTTTTGATGAATAACTGTAACAATCAATGTCGGTGTTGAAATACTTTTAATGATAGATGGTCAGACGACTCTTCATATACTTACGAAAACTGGGACAGAGGAGAGCCTAATAATCACAACGGGGAAGAATTGTGCGGAGAAATATATCGCTATAATGGTAAGAGGAGATTTAATTATATAGTATAAATTTTTGAACAATGAATATAGATTTAAGAAATATATACTGACGTCTAAAAGTCATAATGTTTCATCATACTTTGGAACCGTGCTTTTCATTGTGGAAAGAAGACAGCTGCATGGAGCATGTAACTATAGATGGAAGAATAGCTTGGCAAACACCATCATGCAAAACGAAACTAGTAGGAGAAAAAAGAAGGGCAGGCCAACTAGCATATGGACTGATAACATTGAGGGGAATGTCAATTTTTCAGAAGACTTACAAATTCGCAATAGTAATTTAGTTTAGATCGTAGGTAATGCAAACAAGTGATAGAGTCATGTTTACATAATATGTCCCCTTTTATCTATCTCTTCCTCTAATTCTTTCGGTCTTCATTTGTTTTTTCTCTCTCTCTCTCTATTTCCTTGTCCCTCTTTTCTACTTTCCTCATAATGATCTTCTTCAGAATTCTCTTTTTCCTTTCTTGACATTATGTTTCTCCCTTCTTATAAAATATAGTATTAATGACTGCTTTTAGAGAAATAGTTGTTTTTAAACGCTCAAGGGAAGGTTAGAATTGTGCTATTGCCCGAGACGTGCCGAGGGCAATAGCCCAATTGCAACCTTATAAAAACAACTATTTCTCGAATATTAAAGCAGTCATTAATACTTTTATATGCCGAAAAAATTATGACACCACCTTGGCCTTTCCCTAGTTTATCTGCACGGTTGTTTTTTATGAGTGTTTCTTTGAGAGTAGACTAGATCTAGATTCTAGTCTAAGCAAGATATTTTTACAATTTTAGGGGTGGGCCGGCCCTGTGGGGAATATGGAGAAAAACATGCGCTTTTATATGACACCTCACTTATTGAGTATCACCTTCAGGATCACGAGCAATATTAGTTTGAATCTCTGGTAATTAAAACATCGAGTGCGCAATGGTCAATGGAAATGCATTTTGTGTGTAATCTCTACGGGAAGGATCTGCATCTGTCCGTGACGTACAAATCACTACAATCACCAGCATCTGGTTGTCGCGTACTAGAATCTAGATCTAGGCCTACTGAAAAAAAATATGGAAGATTTCACGTACCCTTTTTGGAGTTCTCGCTGTCAGCATGTCTCGAATTTGATCCTCATCCAGAAGTTGAAATCTTGGGAGAGTTTCTACAGCCATTTTTGCCTTGTTTGAATCGAGATATATTGACGTACTAAAAATGCCGACCAATTCTTCGCACACGTACGGTATCCGCGATCGCTCAAACCATTTTTTAACATGTAAATCTATGGGTAACCATGGTTACTGAAATTTTAGAACTATTGATCAAACAATTATTGAAAAAGTCTCAAATATTCAATTTTTAGGTATTCTCATAGATGAAACATTGTCTTGGAAATCACATATTGCCATGATCTCTACGAAGATTAGTAAAACTACAGGATTATTGTCAAAGCTGAAATATTATTTACCAGGAAATGTATTGTTTATGATTTATAATTCACTCATTCTCTCCTATTTGTCATATGGTAACATCGTGTGGGCAAATACAAGTCATTCTAAGTTGAAACCCTTATTTTTACTTCAGAAGCGTTGTCTACGATATTGTACAAACTCTCATTATTTGGCCCATTCTAAACCTTTATTTAGACAGTTAAATACCCTCAATATTTATAGCCTAAATAAATATCAAAATGCTGTGTTTGTATTCAAATGTATTAAAGGTAATGCACCATCATCTTTTGCCATTATGTTCCAAACTAACTCTAAAATTCATAAATATAATACTCGAAATAGTCTAAAGTTACACATTTGGAATATTGATAAACAGTACATGCAACAATCAGTAAGGTATACAGGGCCCATAGTATGGAATTCTCTTCCATCCTCTCTTACTCAATATGTTTACTTAAACTCATTCAAGAAAAAACTTAAAATATATCTATTATCCCTATAATTTGTTTTAGTTTAACACCTATCTTAAAATAAAATATAATTTGTAAATAACCATAAGAGAGAAAGAAGGGGGAGGGGGGAGGTGGTGGTGGGGGTGAGGGATGGGAGGGAGGGAGGGAGGGAGGGGGGGTAGAACAAATACATGCGCAATACTCATTATTATGTTATTATATCTGTGTAATTATTTTATTCATTTGGACGCCTGAATCAACAAGCTAAAATAAGCTTCCTACAGGTGCTCCCTTTTCCTTTTACTCATTTTCACAGTTTGTTTAAATTAATTTAATTTAATGCTCATGATTTGTATATTTTAAACTGTTTGTACTTTATCACATGTATATATTTGTATGTTTTTTAACGGAAATAAAGTCTTTTGAATTGAAATTGAATTGAATTGAATTGAATTGAAAATGTTTGGAACTATTTTCCCGGTAACCATGGTAACTGGGATTTTAGAACTATTTTTTGAACTATTACATGGGTTTGGAATTTTACCGGGAATTTTACAGGAATAGTTAAAGTTTATGAATGCAATTTTGACCAATCAGATGGCTGGATTTCTTAAGTGAGGTATATAATGTCTATCAATTCACATAAACTCTCCCCTGCATGATTGATGGCATGTATGATGGATGTGTTTACCTTAAAATGTAGTTAATGGTATATAAGAAAAGGTTAATGTATATGGGTAATTAATATACAAATAGTGAATGGCCATGAGTGCAATGGCACAAGATTTTGCATTCGGTGAAAGATAAGAGACGCTATATTCAACGAGGCGCAGCCGAGTTGAATGGAGCATCTCATCTTTCACCGAATGCAAAATATTGTTCCATTGCACGAATAAAGACCATTCACTATTTGTTTTATACAACACCTCGGACGTTAAGGGCTAACAACTTTCTTTTTAAAGAACAGTTTTCCTAGGGCCTAGTCCGAATCTCAGCGCAGCGATCGATGAAATTACAGATTTGTGTCCTGTGACTGCCATGATATCGCGATTCTCGAATCCCGCTTGATCTAGGATCGTAACAGCTCTCAGGCTGTGATTTGTGTAATGATGATCACACTGAGCCCTTTCAGCAATTTTTCTCATTTCATTTCCCAGGGTATTTACTCCCAACGGGACATTGTCATAGCAGGGTCCATCATATGGTGAAGAAGCTTTTGGTCGCTGCCAAAAGTGGGTTGACTTATTCAAGCAAGCCACATACTTTAGCAAAGAAGTGACTGGGCACCTCGAAGACCCAGGTATTTCATACATGCGACCACCAAATGCTTCGTCTTCATTTTCCCGTCTCGATTTTGTTAGCGTATCACGATGCTCAAAGTAACGAAGCCCGTCTTCATCAACACGGGAAATATAGTCGTTGGCTGTCGTTTCTCTAAGATTTTCGCGGCCTCTCTGCAAAAAAATATGTCATGACGTCCAAAAAAAACTTTGCTCTGAAGACCAAGTGTTGTATCAGGGTTGACTGCATCTGATTTGAAAATCTTTGCCATGTCACTATCAGTTACTGCAGTTTTATGCTTGACATACCCTTTTCCTTGTTTCTTCAGTTTGACCATCATAGCCTTGTAGACCTTTTGACTTTCCGGAAATTTTGCAGCATTTGTAATATCCTCTCCCCTGGCAGACTAAAAATGGCGACTGAGTCCATATTTGATAGAATGCATAGATTTCTTAGCGTACAAGCTTTCATCATCTTTCCGTAAACCAGCGTAAAATCGAGATAGAACTTATACAGTTCTAGATCCGGCATACTGGTGACCTCCGCTAACGACAGTGATACACATTTTGCAAAGGATTTCAAACGGCTCTTCGCAAACTTGACACATTTTTTAGTATTCTGAGCATCGGAGTCGGACAATAATTCATTCAATTCTTCATCATTTAGCAATACAAAGTTTGGTACTGCCATGATGTGAGTTTTTTAAATTAAAAGTCAAGAACAAATCCAGCTCGGGAAAAAAACCAAACGTATAGATTGTCTAGGCCTACCGTATCGTACTCTCGCTCGCATTTTCTGTTCATTAACCGCATAACCACTGAGCCGCGCGTACAATGCTTTATGTTTATTGTGACGTCAGAGTGCAATGGTGCGAAAGGATCAAACAAAATTGCACTCCGCGTCAATGATGCCGTTCAATGGTACTTTTAGCGCATGTCATGTGATCAAGAATTGACTAATGAGGTTGCAAGAATCTTAGTAGGCGTTGTATAATATCAATCATCAATAACATTTTGTCAAAACTGTTGCATTGATAAGGTGCTACTGGTGAGTTGCTGTGTCTGATGGACATGTCTCCAAGAAGAAACATGAGTATTGATGATGAAACGAAAGAGACAGGGAAATGAAATATAAATTGGAGAGGGAAGAGAATGAGAAAGAAGAGAAGAGGGGAAAGAACACGCTCTTCCTATTCAGTGTCACTCTCCTCATTCTGTCGTGTTCACATCTTAAATGTATTAATAAACACTGCAAATCTTCTCCAGGTCTCCAGGAAAGTGGCGTATGGAATGATGCAGCATGTGGGGTCAATACCCCGTTCATATGCAAGAGGATGGAGGATTCCATTAACCCAGTTACACATGCACCGACCGAAACCCCTACCGGAGGATGTAGTGATGACTATTTCAAATACTTCAATAGGTAAGGCAAAGGCGATCGCAAAGACTTTCGAGAAATCAATTCTTGCGCAATTTCAAAATATAATGTATATCTCAAAAAAAAATCATGTTCGGGTTATGTATCTATAAGTAATATATGATATCGTTAATCTTTTTTTACCAAAAAAATCTAACGAACGAAACGCTACAATATCTATATTATACAAATAATGAATGGTTATGAGTTCGATAGTGCAGTATTTTCATGAGTTGAAAGATTAACATTCTATTCAACGAGGCGCCAGCCGAGTTGAATAGAATTAACGTTAATCTTTCAACGAATAAAAATATTTGCACTATTGAACGAATGAAAAACATTCATTATTTGTTTTATACAACATCGAAGAACATCCAACGTTAAGCAATAAATTATGCTTTAGTCCTTATATTAAAGATAAATTAAAGTTGGAGTCAAGCCTTCTCGATTACATTCAGATTACCTTCGCGTCAGATACGCAGGGATACGCGCACGACAGAGAGGTACGCAGTCTGCATATAACCAAAAATGCACGCCCGTGCAATAGAAAATCTATTGAATAGCATGTGACCAACAATCCTCCAATCAAATGACAAGGATCCACGTAGGTTTTGTATAAAACAGTATAATTTACGTCTATGTAATAGGCCTACTCCGAGAGTATGGTACAGTGCCGTATAAAAAAAAGCATTCAGCGAAGGGTAACCCCCCCCCCCCCCCTGACTAAACTTTCGATTTATACCCTCTATTGAATGGACAGGTGTTACAGGATGGGAGGATATGAAGAGAACGATCGATACAGCTGGCAGGATGCTAGAACCTTGTGCCAGGGCGAAGGAGGCAATCTAGCCGGTATCCATAGCCAACAAGTTCAGTGTAAGTTGTCTTATACTTCAGTCACACCGTGAAACCGACCCCAAACTTGTTCTAAACCGGCCGATTACTAACCATTAGGGGTAATGTAAAAACATTTTCATCAGTCTGATATCGGTCTCTTCGGAGTGTCCGGGGTATACGTTTTTATTCTCAATCCCTCTGCAAACACGCCAAACCGAATCAAGATCGTTTTAGAAACCAACCAATATTTTGTTTACATAATCGAACTCGTTCGTGTGACTGAGTTATAGCCCCCCCCCCCCCCTCCATTATATGACTCGGTGCATGGATAAAATGAAGAGAATTTGATGGAGACTTTTTTTCTTCATAATTTCTTCTATGGCCGCAAATTTCACTGAATTCACTGGTAGAAAATAAAAATACATGGAATGATTCAATGGTTTAAGGAGTAATTATGAAAAGTTTACTTTTGTAAAGTATATCTTTTCCCTTATTTTTCTTAGAGAATAATAGATCATAATCATTAGTTCATTTGTTTAAGTTAAATATTTAGCAAGTTATATTGATATTTAGCGAAAAAGTATAACAAATCAATAGAAAAATTTTGGTTCTTTTTTTCATTGATGGCATTAGATTTTCGATTTTTAATTATTTTTTTAGATAGCAAACTAGGGTCATGCGCGAACTAGGGTCACGCGCGAACTATGGTCACACCGATAAACAGAAAGCCGTTGATATTTGATGATAGCGTCATTCGAATTATTCATGCTTCTATCACATATTAAATCTTGGTGTTATTATCTTCATGTCTTTAGCCCTACTAACATCTATGCTCTTGGACATAACGGGAGATGTTTGGATCGGCTTTTCGGATTCAGGATCGAATGGTCAATATCACTGGACCGATGGAAAACCGGCAGTGTACACGAACTGGTTTCCTGGTGAACCGACTGGACATATTTCCCTACCTGGCGCTGTGAGTATTGCAAGTAAAATGTAATGTTAGTGACAAAAAAAAGATTGAGAAAAATGGACGATATCAACGCAACCATTGCAAATATTAAACACAATCGCATCGACTTTCGAGAAATTAAATAAAGGGAAATGCCAATACCCCATTGTATATCCCATAGCAATCATGTTCGGATTAAGCGAAACATGGTGTTCATGTTCGCATATATTAGAAGATGCTGGACAATGGTATTGAAAGGGGCTAAGATTAATTTTGTGAAAGTCTTTGTGATTGTATCATAAGAAAATGTCTCACAAGTTTTCAGAGTTTTTTCTTTTCACAGCTTCCTACAATTTTCCAAATGCCATATTTTTGTTTACCTCAAAATGTGTTTCTATGTACGTCCCTCTGACATGACTGTCTAAGATACACGTAACTATTTCTACTTCACTGATTTTAAAGCCCCACTGCACTACTTATAGAAGGGGGATTAGACCTCCCTGCATGGTCACTGTTAGGTAGTTTTCTCATCAAATCAGCTCTCAATAAACATAAGAAAAAGGGGATCATGGGGGACCAATCGTCACCGATTAGGCATTGTTTGATATATAGAGGGCGCAAGTAGCTATAAGTAGTGCAGTGGGGCTTAAATTAAATTTTCCTCTTTTTTTTCACGTCTGTTTTGAAGTCATTCTACATTGCTATAATTTTTCCACCAGCCTGTTCGCGACTGCGTTGAGATGTTGAACCAACAGTGGTATGCTGGCATGTGGAGTGACTCTGAATGCTCTAATGATATCGGATACATGTGCGAGAAAGACTTGGGTATGTTTCCAGTTTGGACATTTTACTATTTTGTTTGCCTTTAACAGCCAGTAATACATATACCTTCCTTCTCAGTCATGCAAAGCTGAACAAAGAGAACGTGATTTTTTGTTTTACAAAATATATAGCAGCTCACGATTACCTTTTCTTATAAACGAAGTATCTACCAATGCCCGAATTCCATCTTTACCAAGTCGTCATCAAGTGGTCCTAATACTTACTTGGAGATACGTGTAGGCCTACAAAGGTCGTAGGTTCGAGCCCCGGGGAAGCACTAGTGTCCGTTGGCAAACATTATAGTCTTTATCTGCCATTCCCCATCCAGGTGTGAAATGGATAGCGTTAATAAGGAACTCCCTAAATGGTGCGAGAACCAAATTCGGTAGACTAGCTAGAGCCGGTGCGTCATGAACACCTTGTGTGATAGATAAGAGCGCTATAAACAAATCCAGTATTAAATCTTAAAGGTACTATGTCCCATTTGCAGCCCAAAAAATGAAAAGATTAAATTCTAACGGCATTTAAAAGATAATACTAATTTAGAACTTCCCTCAAAAAAGTTGGGGCTTGAAAATGTCTTCAAGTGGGAAAATAACGACTATTAGTTGTCAAATCGACTTAGGAGCTATAGCGCGAATAAGTAATAGTCTTGATTTTCAGACCATTGTACTGAATGGTCATACGTTTTATGCTGCGCAAATATTCAATCAGTTTACTTTTAGCCATCACAAGAAGTGGGTTATTGATGTAGACAAATGCTCATTTATTCTTTACAGCTCATTTTTATGAAATTCATTGATAATTCATTGATAATTCATTGATAATTCATTGATAATTCTTTGATAATAACATTCAATGTTATTATCAAAGAAGAAAATAAGCAAGTCAGTCACTCAATAGTGTCTGACAGTGAAGTCTAGCAAGTAAACAGGTTTCCTTGCATAATTTGAATATTAGGACACTGCTAACGTTCAAATTTCACAGATAGGACATACATGACATATTCATAATTCCTGCAAAGTTCTACAGAATTTGAGGTTGGCCGCAAAAGGGACATAGTACCTTTAAATGTTTCGGCATTATCGCTAACATACACTGTTTCGGGGGAGGGGAGGGAGGCAGAATACGGCGTCCACCTAACTTCTATTCCCTATCCTAATCATCTTGAGGGAACAAGGGGATATTCCATTGTCTTGCTTCACGACCACGAGGCCAGCATAACCATTTCGTTATGTACCTGTTCTTCTTTAGATCCTAGTGCTCCTGATAACCCACCAGAGGACAAATTTTGTGATGACATCTCTTACTACAAATACGGCGACTCCTGCTTCAAACTTGACACGACCAGGCGTACTTACACGGGTGCACAAACATTCTGCGAGGATGATGGCGGTAACCTGGCTAGCATCACAGATGCTCACTATGAAGCTTTCCTAGAGTATATGCTGTACTCAAGAGGAATATCTGATGCTTGGATCGGCATGACGAATGTGGTAAAATGTCTTGATATTGTCAAATGAAATAATGTTTTATTGAAATGAAATGGTAATTGGTTTAGGATGTGTGCTAGTCCAGCGATCAACTGTCCGACTTCACCTATAAGCTGATCGTTAGTGAGAGTTCATTTTCGAGAGGTATAACAGATGTGATTGATACACGTTTGTAAATAGCTCTCTATAGTTCTCCCCTATTTATCATATTATTTTCTCGTTTGGGGCAATACATATGCATCTAATATAAATTAACTTTTTACACTAAAAATAGGATAATAAGAATTGTCTGCAATATGCAATCTAAAACTCACACTAACCCTCTATTTCAAGAATGGAAACTCTTAAAGATTGAAGATAATGTCGCATACCAACTGCATACTATATTTAACCATCTCTCGGAATGATTTTGAATTGTTTTTTATTTTAATCCTAATAAACATATCTGTCCCATTAAATCTGTATGAAACATTTTTATTCCCAGACAGTACAGTCTAGTTTCAACAAAATGTTTGCATCATTGATTCATTTTGCATTTACTTTTTTTTTCATACGATGCCACTCTTATATGACACGTCAGAGACCATGACAGACACTGACGTAGTCGTGACTCATCAAATAACGCCTATTCGATTCGATTTGCCTTGATTTGATTTATTTATTTCTGTTTGATTTTTATTTTGCATTTTTACAAATTTATAACAAACAAAACATTACAAATTTTACACTTTTCAAAATAATATAATGTCCAATAAAGTAACTAATCGAAAACATCAAAAAGGAGGGTTGACAAAGTACGCAAAGCTTGATAGCATGACTACCCTCACTGGATACATAATAATAATACGAATATGGTGGAGCAAATATTGGTAAAAGGGGAAAGAGAGAGAGAGAGAGAAAAGAAGACAGAAGAAAAAAGAAAGGGGGTGTACATCAAGATTCACAGATGTATGTGGTACAATGTAGTTGGACTTCAATTGATATATGAAGATTAAAAAAGAAGATGCACATTTGAATATTGGGTGGCCAACTTGGGATATATTATAGAATGAGAAGACTCACGAGGTTTCTGGACAATATGAAAAGAAATGTGAGATTAAAGAGTGAATTCATCTACGTTTACACCGCCTCTGATGAGGCACTTTGATGTTTGAACTTGAATCGGATCGGAGGCATTTCATTTAGAAAGCACTAACCCTACTATTACCCCTCCACCCCCCCCCCCCCCCCCCCCAGGATGGAAAATACCAATGGGCCGACGGCTGGCCAGTACTCGTCTCATTTTGGGGTGACGGAGAACCAAGTCAGAATGACGGAGAAGGATGCGTCATTCTTACTGATGCACCCTCTTGGGATGATACCAGTTGCGCCGATCTTCATCCTACCATCTGCCGAACCACAAACGGTTAGTAACCACTTTTGGATGTTAAACATGTCTGTAGCTACATGTTGTAATTGTCGCATTAACACTTGTCTAACACGATCGCGAAGTCTTTCAACAAGTCAACCTAAAGATAAGTGTAACACCATCGTTATAATCTTCCTATAATTTCAAATAGTGACGGAAACTTGTCTTCCAGCTCGTCTTTAAGTCGGGAGGCTAAGTGTTTCAATTTTTGCCCGATGCATAATGCTTATCTACTGAGACAATTCATTAAACTTACTACATCCCCTCTCAGCCCACTTTACCGGTAGGTTGTATTCTTGAAAACGTACTGTGCGCTGATATCTACAGTAGGGGGTAAGGAGTAGACAGTTATTGAACAAAAATCAAAGGATATAGAGATTACGTTCACTCCGCATTAAACTAACATAATAATCATTGTAGATATTCGTCCATTCACTTTTGTTTTCCTCTCTTGAGACGGAATACCCTAACGGCAAGTGATGTTTCTATATGATTTATCAACTGCAGCACAACCTCCTGACCCAGTCGAGGAACTTCCCGGATACTGCCAGAGCGGTCAAACAGCGTTTGGTGGCTATTGCTACTACGTCCCTGATGGTCTGGTGTTCACCGAGTGGTATTCAGCTAGCTACCAATGTCAGCAGATGGGTGGTGAGCTGGCCAGTATCCACAGCAAGGAGGAAAATGAGTTCATTCGTGACTTGGTACAGACAGACATCGGCAAGAGGAATGTATGGGTTGGCCTGGAACGAGGACCATCAGGTAAAATTTAGATATGTTCTGCATACGATTCCAATGGATTTACCCTGAGACTATGACTGGACCTTCATATTTACATTTTCATCTAGCCCTTGTGTATATCATGAAGTCCGTCTGTCTTTTATCAAATTTTCTCTCTTGTTCATATTACATTCTTCTGACCAGTGCGGTGTTTCACAAAGATCCTAAGTCAAACTTAACTTTAAGTTATGGAGAGCCATTTGTAGCCTTAGAATAAAGTATATTCAAAAGCAAAAATTCAAGTTTTTTGGAATTTTCATAAATTTCACACCAGGAACATGAAATCTCCTTGATAATAGAAAATATGACTGATTTGAATCAACATTTTATGCCTTTTAAAATAACTTATACAAACTATTTTTAAAAGATGCTAACGGCGTTCCATAATTGTTAGGTCCAACTTCGAGATAATTTCAACTTAATATCTCTGTAAAACACCCCCCTTTTTTTTCCCCCAAATTGACCCCAAATCAAGTCCTTAAATTGTTTCATTGATTCACTACTTCAAGAGATATGACCCACACTCTTCAGGAGATATGTTGTTTATAACTTTGTGATAAAAAAAAGTTCATTTAGGATTTTTAAAAAACCCGTTACATTCCTTTAATCTATTTGGGTCGTTTCCTTCCATTATACAGGTGGGTACCTTGGGTTCACAAATTGGAATGACATCACCCCTGTAGATTATGTTCAGTGGGAAAATGAAGAGCCTACTAACAACAATCCTAAATTGTTTAGTCATTTCTTTCATTACTTTAAGGAGATATGAACCATATTATTCAAGATACGGAAATGTTGTTTCTAACTTTTGCATTATGAAAAAAGTGTTTTACAAGTTGTTTTCCTTTACACTATGGGATGCCTTTTTCTCCATTCTATAGGCGGGTTCACAAACTGGAATGACGGCACCCCCGTAGATTATGTTCAATGGGATAATGGTGAACCTACCGACAATTGGAGGGGTAACCAGGAGGACTGCGTCGAAATTTACACCAATGAATTCGGCACGTGGAAAGATGAAGTCTGTAGCACTGGATCATCCTACATTTGCAAAATACCTAAATGTATGTCACACAAGTTGTTATACCGCGATTTTAAAAACTAGGCTTTACTTGCCTTCATAAGCTAATCTCTTTCTTTTTTGTCAATCTATTTATTCTTCTTTGATGATTTTTTTTAATCCAGAAGGGTACTTTGCCATATGTGTAACGGGGTTATATGCATTTACATGTATATCTCTTACCAAATATGCAACATAACATCAGTCTGTTATTGTAACTTTTACAACAGGCATCAGTGTAGAATATTTGAGCGAGATTCGCTACTCTTATATTTTTTTACTAATGGTATTTGTAAGCATTTGCTAAGTATTCCAAATGATTACAATGGTGTAAAGGGGAATGATGATGATGATGAATAACAATAACTTTATTTATGCAAAATCAAAAACTTACTCTTTTGACCCGTTAACGATTTTCTTCATAGATGACAATACCACGCGAACGGAGCCTGTGAGTAATCAAGGTAACTATGTCTAGTCATCGTAATTATCCTTTAATACTCAGATATTTCTTATATATTGCCAGCTCTTAAAATAATTGAAATGTATTTATCAATAACCTTAAGGAGCCGGGAAATATCATACGAAAAGAGAGTACGTTGTGGAGGTAAGAGGATAACATACCCCTCCACCACATCCATCATCTGCCCCACCTTCTTCACAGCAACGCTAACGAAATTATTAACATTATATTCTTTAAAGAATTTCTATCATGTTGAAGTACATCAGTACTCATATACGTTATTAGTCAGCTTTTTTTATTCCATATACATTTTATTAATGCTCGGTCTTCTGATAGGTCTTTCGGGTGGAGCGATCGCCGGCATCGTCATCGCCTGCGTTCTCATTATCACCGTGGTCCTCCTCGTCGTCGGCTACATGATGGGCATCCGCAGCGTCCCCAAACTTGGGACCTCATCGTCGTCATCCTCGCCGTCTGCGAACAAGGACACATTCCCGACACCGGCGTCTGGATTTGACAATGTTATGTATTCACCTGACTCGAACCAGAAGAAAATCCAGATGGAGCCAGCCGGTAGTAACGCTTAACTAGTCTCGTACGTGTAGTTAAATTGTCATTTAATCCCTGATGGTGCGTTCACGTTATCTTGTAAGTAGTACACTGCATAACTAAATCACTAACACTGCTGGTGTGCTTTGATTGACGATACTTAATCAAGGGAGTGTAAATTAAAAAAGATGTTGATTGCAAATGTCTTAGAGTTTTTGTATCTCATATTTTCAGTGTATTCACGTATTCTAGTATAGACGAGAGTATTTAAGAGAACATTTTCTCCTCTCTCATACTCCCTTCTCATAATTTACAATTTACACAACTAAAAAAAATCTCTAATTACAGTTACTTTTATATATGTACAGAACTAGGGTTCGTGATATTTCCTCCAAACGTGTGTTGTTTAAATTTCATTTAAATGGTTCAAAAATCGTGAGCACTTGCATTTTCATATTATAGCATTATCCATCATCTAGAATAATCTTAGGCAGTTTCTTTTGAAAGAAGGTTGTATGATAATTGCTCAGTATCGGCTCCAATGAAATCGTAATAAGAGTTCAAAGAGATTTAGGTAAGGCGTTTCAGTGATGACATAACTATCGTACTGAAATACCATGCATCGTATCGAATAAACACATCGATATGGGAATAAATATTGTATGTGGCTGGTTTTGTAAACATGAATGAATTTTGCCAATGTTTAATTCAGCGTACATTTCTTATTAATTTACTAGCTAATGAACAGAAATTTATCTGAAGATGTGCCTCTATTTCCTTTCCATCCATATTACTTAAAGATGGATATATGCGGGGCACTACAGTACAAGTTTTGTTTTATCTGTACATAGAGACTTTAATCTTCGTTTGCTACTTCATGCATGTCAAGCTTTATTTACCTTTAGTTTTACATTTTGTACATTGATCAAGATGACGTCTACATTATTCTCATTAATAATCAAATTATTTTTTGTTAAACTCATTTTGTTAAAAACTCTTGCTTACATTGCAATATTTTCCTCGCAAACACAAGTCAGTGAAACTACCTATTTTGATTTCGTCAATCAGTTATTGTAACAAGCAAATTCAATTTTAAATGTGATATGTGAACGAATTAAACTATCTACACGGTTGTTATATTAAACACAAGACTTTTGATTTGTTTGTATTTCTGTTCATAATGTGCTGAAATATTGACTTTCCTGAGGTGGGTAGGTAGTGTAAAATATTCAGATCGGCTCAAATGAAGTTTATGAGAGAATTGGGTATCATAGGATGAAAGGGCTGACGATGTCAGCCTTTAGTTTTAGTGTGCTTTGCCCCCTTTTTTATTGCAGCTTTGGCCAAATACGCATTAGATGATATCCCACAAAAACTGAAATGGGTTTTGGGTAGTTGTTTTTTCACTGGAACATGATTTTGGGGATCTCATCCATCCTTCCAAATGTGATGGGGGGGGGGGGGGGGTAGGAGGACGGGTATCCTATAATTACTCCCTCCCTCCCTATTCGCATTCACACTTTTTGTCAACACAAAACAAATGAATGGATGGACCTTCAAAGGTTCAGGTAAAGGATATGTATTTATTACATAGTTGTTTCTTGGATACGCAATATAATCTAGATTTAGACACTAAGGTTTTTGCTACACAACAACCTTTTTAGTTGGTTAAGAATCTACACAAACAATGCCGTTATTCACAACAATTCAAACATGAATCTCATTTCAATAGCATTATATTTTCTCATACATCTTGCAGGAGGTTACAGAACAGATAAGTTGTATTAGTCAGCAATTAATTTGATATACGTTACTTGGAGACATCTTTTGGTAACTTTAAAAATTGTTTAGCGATTAATCTCACGTAATCGGGCGGACCCCAAAAATGTCCCTGTTGTCATAAATAGTAGCTGTCAAAAGGTGAATTTATATGCATGCCCAACTTGACTTGATATACAAACATGTACTCCTCCTGATAATATAATGAATGGAACTTTCTCTCCCTCCCTGCTTCTCTCTGTCCCCTCTCTTCCCATGCTCTTTTTTCCCACTTTCTTCCTTCCTAACCTAATTGGTATGTATCGCTTCATATTGCATGTATTATTATTTTCATTCTCGAAAGGACGTCCCTTAAAACCTATGCTTAAGACTACCCCTTTTCTGTATATAACACGTTAAAATCATACATTGAAAGTTATAAGATTGTAGGCTAAATGTAAATAAGTTGATGTATACTAAATAAATAACCATCAAATCAAATCAAATATAAATTTCTTAACCAGTCGCACATACTGCACTACCTTGTAAATAGGCTTTAAAAACGAGATAATATGTAGCAGTACGGAAACAAATATTATTGAAACAATAGAACATTTCATTTCATTTCATTTTGCAAGAACCTTTTCACAATACTGATCAGATGCGAACATAAATATTTTTTGAAAATGAATGGAAATTCCCATCTCAGACACATCATTTGCTGGCTCCAATATTATTAGGTAGAAATCATATATTTACAAAAATGGTGTATTTGATTGTCTGACGCACCCAACCCCGAATTTATCAATTGTTTGAATACGCCATAGATAAATTACCATACTCTGTCTACTCGGTATTCATAAACACACAATTTTAAGTGGACAGATTTGGTCCACCGATCTATGGAGCGCCAAGTGTGAATTTCCTCATCCTAAACAAAAATCACAATATTTCTGTAACTGACTAAACAATAGTCATATCAACATAGAAACAATATTTAGGTTTCATTTCATGACTTGATATATTTCGTTTATTCACTTAGTTGCAGAATTTTTAGTAAGTTTGGGAAAAATAAACAGCTGACATTTTGGCTGTATATACATCAGTGGACCAACTTCATTAATAGGATTCGACGTCTATTTTTAGTACATGACAGAGGCAAAATACATCAATGTAACTGCTGAGAACATTTTAATTGAACAGAAAGAAGGGCTGAAAGGAGTACAATATCCGGGGATTCTTATTCTCAGAAAAAAACATTTTCATAATGTACTCTGAAAGATGATGAGATATACACCTTGGTTTTATATCTGGTAAGTGCAAATGAACAACAAGAGGAGCAAGTAGAGAAAGAGTTTGGGTTTAAATTGAATACATGCCTACTTAGTGATATAACATATGCTACATTGTATTTCTATAATCAGTGAGCTGACAATTCATTATCACATTATATAATAATACAGAGGTAAATTGACACAAATATTAAATGTAAAGTGATATCATTTTGTTTTGTATTTCTTGTTCAAACAGTAATTATTATACTTATTGGACACACATGACACCTGGTTCTAGTACTATAGATGATATTTGGGCAAGGAATCACTGTTGGTCGCGGAACTACTCGTTCTTCTCCGCCTCCCCGGTGCTGTCGGTGGAGCCTTTGGTGGAGCGATAGTGACATATGTTGACTACTCCGTTGTAGGTGCTCTCTTTAGACAGGCTGAGAGCACCAAACCGACCCTTGCTGGCCACCCCTACATCAACTGGTTTCTCTGTGCCCATAATGACCGCCTGTGCTTGCCCATTGGCCGCGAACTCCAGCTTGGTGAAGTTGCTGCCAGATGTGGTATTGGTTGGAGCAACGCCCTCTTCAACTGTAGTGACCTCGTGTTCCGGTGTTGGCGGGAAGCTCACATTCTGATCTTCTGCCTTGGGACTGTCGATAGGTGTCGCTGTTTCCTTGTCGTCATCATCATCATTCGGCTGCTCGAGCACCTCGTCGTTGGAAAACCCATTCTCAGCATGACCGTTGCTACCAAAGACCTCATCCTCACCCACGAACTCCTGATCATCAAGGTCTTCGCACGGAGAAGGTAGACCGCTTGAGGTGTCCTCGAAGCTGTAGAATGCATTGAAAGGATAGCCGTAGCTCTCGGCATCTTCAGACATCGTACGGCGACCCATCTTTTTCCGGTAGTTCATCAGCTTTTTCAAACATGTTTTCCTTTCTCGTCCTGAGTTGAAAATAACGAGAATTCAGAAAGGGTTTCGAAAAATTAATGATTCCTGCTTCTACTAACTAATTATCTGATAATCAGGTTCCTCCGTTAAGATGCACTGATATCCTTAATCATGTTAATGACAAATTGTCATAATATCACAAATGACTGACCATTCACAATAATTGTTCGAATGAGGTCCCTATGATGTTAAAGAGTTGCATTAAACTGTGAAATACATCTATCCGTTTATCTTTATATGATTGTTATCTTTCCATTGCAAAAAGTCTCAATTATTAGAAGGTTTCACGAAACAAGCAAAATTCGATAACTTTCATAATCGGATATGTGAATTCTTAAATCGTGACCAAGGTCATGTGTAGACTAGGTCTACAAATTATTTGTTGTGAATTAAATATATTTTTGAAGGGGAGGTTGTTGAGTGCGAATGACGGCTCATATAACAAACGTAAACGTAGACACATTTAAACTTATTTAAAATGATATGTATACTTTCTGGATGCGTATTTTTTTAACAACAATGTCAATTTGACAGGATTTCATCAAATTGTACTGTCTTTTGAAAACAAAAAGTCAAATTCGCCAATTTACCATAAACCTAAAGTCACATGATGACCGAGTCTAAGTCCTCGCGGGACCATTCAAACATCGAGTCCTACAACACTGACTTCTATGCACACACTTCTACGAAACATAGTAGTTGTAGTATTCAGCAGGGAAACATAGCTGAGCAAATTAAAGGCAAAATCATAATAGGGTTGACGCCACTTTAGTATAACACTTACTATTACGATTGTTTAAAAAAAAAAATCAAATCATATTCTAGAGCATTCTAAAGTAAAGCTGTAAGCAGAAGACTAATAGGGGTTAATATTTTTTTTTTAAACTAATGCTTTTCTAGCTATTATTCAAACAATATATTGAACACAGTTTTTACTGAACTTGATTAAAAAGCTTCTATGAAATGAAAATATTCTACAGGAAACTAATAATGAAACAAAAAAAAAACAATTAAAAAGAAAGGAATGTGACATGCGGGCGGGGTCTCACATGTACAGCAACTATCATGCAAGCACAGCTTCCAGCTTGCCTGGTTTGAAGATTGGGGGCCCGTTTGCCTTCTCCTCCATATTCATTCCTTCCATCTTCTTAGCCAAACTTTCGTTCTCCTCGTCTTCCTCCTTCTTGTCCTCGTTGTTGTTTTCAATGTAGATTTCTTTCCGGTTCTTGAGGACATGGGTGGCACCCGGTGCACCGGTAAGGTTGAGGGCACCGGGCCAGGATGCCATCCGCGTGGGTACATTGGCCACGAATTCTGTAGAGACGAAGATTTCGCGCGCCAGGGACTGGATGAGACGCCAGTCCTCCAAGATGTCATCTTCGGTGGTCTCTGTTGATGTCACAGTGAATCGAATGACGTAAAGACCCTTGATAGAGGCGGGTACAACGTAGATCTTGCCAGAGTAATTGAGACGGCGTAGAAGCTCCTGTGTCAGTCCATTCGGTCCCTGTTTATGAATCATTATGCACTCACAGCGTTATTACAACTGAATTTTCTATTCGTTTTATGGTTCGAATCCTGTCGTAGAGACGTTGTCTCTGGAAATGTGGACATTCTTTAACCAATACCAGGGGGTGTTTCATAAAGCTGTTCGTAAAGTTACGCATGACTTTACGAATGACTTATATATGAAAAGCCAAATGGGATGCTCAATTTTCTTTTAAATACATCAAATAAAGTTGAACTGTGCAGATGTAGATTAACATTCTTATTATAACAAACATTTTTAATACAAAGTATATTTTTGCAATAATTGAATTGAGGTTATTTGAAATATAGTCACACTTTGTGAAAATATCAGGAAAATTTTGGGGCATACTATCTGGCACTTCACATTCAAGTCGTTTGCGTAAAAGATCACTACACTCCATAAATTCTGTTAGGAGCAGGAAGGGCGTTAACTCATATACTTTCCTGCACAGTTAACGTTCTAGCTACAAACACACGGAAATTACACCATAATACTACTCATAATACTATTCATACTACTTGTGTTCTAATGTTGGCTGTAATTTTGTAAGCTTTTTTATTATTGTGCTTTTCTTCAAGGAGATAAACTAAGTATTTATAATTGTGTTATCCTTCTATCTTATTGTATGTTATCATTTTGTAGACTTTTATTCACGTTTTGTGGCAACAAAATTCTAAATTCAAATTCAACTTAACTTACCTTCAGTCTAAAGACAATCAAACCAAGGATTCTCTCAGCTGGTATTTCAAATGCAGCATCGTTTAAAACTAGTTTCTCAAAGTAGTGACCTAGGCGAACGCCCTGCATATGAAAGATATCAAAATATAATTAAAAAAAGATATTACACCACCACTCTTACAATCCATTGACATCATCGTTCTCTAGATTGCCAGAGATGTTATCCCACAACATGCGTCAGATATTTATATAAAAACGGGGGTTGGAGAGTTCCTGAAGTTCTTGCCTAATTGACATCCTCGCTTCTAAATTTCAATGAGCGAAGCGAGTGGGCAAAACTTTAGACTCGTGATCAGACCTGCACTTTAATAAATTGATATCAATTGTTGGTGGATTTGTATTTATTTGTAAAATTTTAATGTAGTTTTATTCATAAAAATACTTTAAATGAGATATGCAACTAAATATACAAAGACCCCTGGCTGCCAGGGTATGAGGTGACGATTGCCCGAATATGTCTACAGGTTAACATGAGATATTAACAAGAGACTTTATGTGATTTACGTATATATTTTTCATTTCACGATGACCCAATCCTAACCTTTTATACCCTAACCGATACAAATGTGAGGTATCTATCTTACCCGACGGACATGCTCCTGAAGTTTCTTGACACCAAATGAACGTAGTACAAACCAGAGCTTGAGGGAGCGGAAGCGTCGACTGAGTGGGATCTGCCAGTGCTGTAGATTGCAAAATCAATGTCGACAGAGATACAGAGATAATCATACTGGTTAAACCTAGTCGTTGACTAAGGATGTATATCATTTCTAAATGATGAAATTAACCTTTGCTATGTCACTATAATAAGGGATATATTTTACCAGCCTTACTGTTACAGAGGAGACGATGACATTCGTGATTTCAAAGACAACAGTGTCAGTGCTCAGAGAAAAGTCATGATATTCATCACCACATTTAATGATGAATAAAACGTTAATAATCATGAGCTTGATTGTGAATTGTTTTAATAACGATGACGCCGCGAACGATGTCAATGATAATGTTGATATATGCGTTAGTTAATAAGTTCAGTGTATTTTGCTATGTAAGTTTAAAACAAATTGAACACAGTTGTTTTGATAGTATACTCTATGATTCAGGAATAAGGTACACCAGAGCTTGGATCAGACTAAATAACAAGGAAATGACGATTGTGATGTAGTAGTGTGTTAATTTATCTTTTGACCTGGTAATGTTCAGGATAGCACATAGTACTCACCATAAAGTCAACGGCTGATCCCTGTTTGTCATGGCGGAGGTATAGCGGCTTGACGCAAAATGCCTTCTCTAGTGTCTTGCTGTCACGTATCCTATAAATGAGACATTCAAATGAGGGCAGTAATTGAATTTATTTGCAGGGGAAGGCCATTTATATACATTGTATTTGGTACATTGTCTAGAACAGACATACCTGAGTACTAGTGAGACGTAGGATGCGTATGGGGAGCACGAACATTTTACTGAGTTGTTACAGACCAGCATGACTTTAATTTGCTAAATTTTAGTGCGGTACATGCTGTGGCAATTTCCTACACTAGGCGAATTTCTATTTTCAACCTTGAGTATAAATCTGCACCAAACCCCACCTAATACCCGATTTCGACCCGAACCGGTACCCTTACATTAACTCTTTATATCTGACGAAATAGAGAGCAATAGCTTTTGCCTGAACATTCGGAACATTTCGCCAGCTGTTTTAGATGGTACAAAACATATTTCTGTCAAACAAAATATCCCTGGTAATTTACATCAATGAAGAGAGAATGAGAAATGAGAGAAGAGAAATGAAGCTTCTAGTCATATCCTTACGGACTGACTGATTTATGATGATGTATGAAGATACACACTTTACACAATTAAGATAGCTCTATTACTCATTTTCGGAATGAAGCATTCTTTACATAATTACATCAATTCGCAAATTGGGAAGGGGGTGTTGGAATGAGCAACATATTTCATTTAATTTCATTTCATTTAGTTAATTATAAAATGAAGAATACAATATACTTGGTCCATATTACATATAGGAAAATCAGAACTGGAGCTCCAACATAAGCAACAGTTTCACCGTTCACGCCTTGTGCGCCCTTACCCCTAACAGTTAAACACACACGTACTAACTTACAAAGGGCTCCAGGGGGGTGTTTCATAAAGAGTTCGTAAAGTTACGCATGACTTTACGAACAACTTGTATATGAAGTGCCAGATAGGATGACCAAAGTTTGTTTTGATATTTCCAATAACCTCAATTAAATTATGGCAAAAAATATACTTTGCATTGAAAAGGGTTGTTATAATAAGAATGTTAATCTACATCTGCACAGTTCAACTTAATAAATAATAATCAATAATTATTGAGCATCCCATTTGGCTTTTCATATACAAGTTGTTCGTAAAGTCATGCGTAACTTGACGAACTCTTTATGAAACACCCCCTGGTAATACAATAAAGCAAGAATACTGAGAAGGCGGGAAGGTGGACAGACAATGAAGAGCAAGATATAAATGTGCGGAACTCACCACATGGCAGTGCAGTCGAAGTGAACCATAAGCCATTTACTGGGATTGAAGGCAAAGGACTGAACCGTTTCTACCCCGTGGAGATGGCCCCGGAACTCCGGACACAAGAATGCTGTCCCGGCGTAGGCCGCGTCCACGTGCAACCACAAGTTGTCCCTTTCACCTTATTGAAATAGATTGGTGTCAAACAATACATATATCAATCAAGCTAAATTTCCATATATTAAAGGTAATACAAAGTTTTGGTATGGGGTCATGAGTTTGGTTCAAATGAACATATTGGAAGCATATGCAATCCTACAACATTCAATGATCGTTGTCGCGGTTGAAATCGAGTCTAAAGTTATGAAATTATAAATAATAAATTCTTTATGTTGTATAGCTCCCTCTCAAGGTCAATATATTAATGTAGCTATAAAACTATGTTTCTTAATTAAAATCGACCGATTGGCTAATCCCGTTTGGAAATTAGATATCACAACTACATATTCTGAGATTTTCATGGTCGCAGCTACTATTGTATGGCCGTAGGCACTATTTGAAATGTATCAACATTTACCGGGAGCACCGGTAAATTTTTATATTCAATTTATCTCGAAAGCAGAAGTGTTAGAGGGGCTAAATTTAGTTTAAAAAGGTTCTAATTCAACGAGCCCATCTCTCTTTCTTGAGTTACGAAAACAAACAAAAACATCGGATTTACAAAGCGTTTAAATAATTCATCTGTTAACATAATAATGATAACAATGTAATGTAATGATTTGATTTTAATTGGTTGCTTAAAGAGTCTGGTTTCTAGACTTACATATTTCGCTTAGCTCAGCGAGATTGTCGAATGCGCATGCCCCTGTAGTGCCCAGGGTGGCGCAAACCTGAGAAGATAAACAAACTTTCATTAGTTAGGGCAAACAATAACCTTTAGTTTAAATCTGGACTTTCTTAAGCCAAGGCTCGAGGTAGCAGACATCAAGAAAATGTGTAAAAGAATCAAAATCTACGGCCTACTAAATCATGAGAAGATTTTTTCACATAAACTATTGTGTGAAGAAAATAAATGAACGCTTGCATAGAAAATGATCACTAATCCGGTGATCGGCCTACTTGCTCCAATGTAAGTAGTAATTGTACCATTATCATTTGATTTCTATTTAAAAACACAAATATACGCATAATAAATATTTTTTCAATCCGCCCAGTGAATACGAGACAGTCGTCTGGTCTTCTTTTTGCGGGGGGGGGGGGGGGGCTCCAGGGATATTTAATTGGTATGGTATGGTATGGTATTTATTTCATTCTTCATAAAAAACATATACAATACATACTCTGTATGTATTGTATATGTTTTTATGAAGACATATACAATACATACTCTGTATGTATTGTATATGTCTTCATAAAAAACATATACAATACATACAGAGTATTAAAAAAAAAAAGAGAAATATATAAATACATGTAGAAGGGTAACATTACAGATAATATGAATACAATAAAAATAACAAGGAAACTAGTTAAGAAAGAAAATTTATGTCGAATGAGGGGTCAACAAAAAAGAGCATTTAGCCTTGTTAAACGTTGACCCCTAAACAAGTACGTAATTAACATAACATTAAGAAGAAAAAGAAAGCAGGTAGAAACAGTAAAACGGAAAAGGAAAACATTATACAAAAAAATAACATATATATATACTATGATATTCAGGTTGTTGAGTACAAATTTGATAAAAACAATCGGAAGGAACGTTTAAAACTATTTAAGGAAGGTTGATTCTTTAGATGGTTTGGAATCGTGCTCCATAGATGAGGACCTTTATAAAAAATAGTAAACTTTGAAATATTAGTTCTAACTTTTGGCAGATGGTATTCAACAGCATTACGCGTATTATAATTATGTATGTTACTATTTAAGATAAATTTTGATGTAATTGGAGATGGTAATAAGCCTCTAGAACACATAAACATAAATATTGCAATATTCAATCTATTAGTGTCATAAACATTTAGGAGATTTAACTGGGAAAAGATTGGCAAAGTATGAGCATGATATGGTGAATTAGAAATTATTCTTATGGCTTTTTTCTGCAAAACAAATAGTTTAGTAATAAAATAATCATGATTGTTTGACCAAGCAATATTACAATAATTGACATGGGAGAAAATCAATGCATAATATAACATAACTAAAATATGTCTTGGAAAATGTCTCAAACGGTAAATAATGCCAACATCTTTGGCAACACGATTGCATACGACACCAACGTGTTCATGCCATGTTAAAGATTCATCGATATGAACACCTAAAAATTTCACACAAGAAGTACGATTAATTTGATGACCATAAAAATTGATTGCAAAATTATCTTCAATACGTCGTTTAGTGAATGAAATTACAAACATATATAAAAACACACAGATTTCATTGTCTGTTTAATACTATCATTATTTATCTTCTCACTATCTACTCCTCCTTCTACATGTCTTGCTATCATTAAATAGTTTTGTATTTGCCTGGTCTATCTTATGTAGATATGAACTTACAAAGAAAGGTACCAGACCTCTGCTCCTGTCTTGTTCGATTGCAGCATGAAGAGCTTCTCCACGTAGGCTGAGTTTCTTATCTGATGGTACGTGCCTTAGTTTCACCATGGCTATCACTGCGTTCTTCTCTAAAGATGAATGGGCCTACAAAATAATCATCAATATGCAAATTTTCAGATTTCCATTGCTAATCATATCATCAATATTTCAATATTTAGATATACATCTTTTCATTGCAAATAAATTAATGGATATGCAGATTCATCTTTTCATAGCTTTTCATTTGAGAAAAAAATAGTAATGCGATGGGATGTATGACAACAGAATTCCATCCACGAGAGAAAAATCCAATATGTTTTACGCGCGCGGCTACGAACCGTCACTTCGTGAAAACAAAATCACAGCGCGTCCTTGAATTTCGTGTTTTCACGAATTGACGGCTATGTTTACAGCTCATTTTCCCCAAAATTATAAGAAATTATGGAAATGATTAAACATAGAACTAAACATTGAGATATGTTCTATCCAAGGATATAACATTTATTTGCCTTTGATACATTAAAGAGGTTGAGATTATGGTTTGAAAATTTGAAAGCGATTTATTCAAGACTAACTTTCTTTTAGTTGCGCGCTCACCGTTACTTCGTAAAAACAGGGACGAACTGCTCCGCGGTCAGCATCCTATACTCACCAAATGGACTAAAAACTACATTTAACCCTAGCCCCAACCCTAAACGTAACCTAACTCCAATTATTGCAACCCTGACCGTAACCCTACGGTTTTAACGAAATGAAGCGTGGAGCAGCTGTCTCCAGAGCAAATGCCGGAGGAATGACGCCGTAACCAATTAAAGTATCATTTACATATGGCAATAAAGCTTAGAGTCAATTTGTAATATTCTCTACACAAGTGAACATACAGATGTGTAATACTATCACATATCACATCAATTTGATGAAACAGTGCTTTTAATCTCACCATTCTTTTTTTTTTTGGTATCAAACAGAAAACCGAAATCAGACAATCAGTCTGTATAACACGATAACACAGGTCATAACATGTCAGTCAGTGACTAAACGATCAGGCTCAAAGGGTCGTAGGGAGAGAGTTCTTTACCTGATCAGAGCAGTAAGCCACAAGCTTAGAGCATATGACGGCTTCCTCCATTCCTTGGTATTCTGGTTTCTCCTGTAGACGGATGATAGCATCCCGTCGAGCAGCGAACATGGACACCAAGGTGGCTTCACTCATAGTCCCCTGAAAGAATCAAACGAAACAAGGGTTGGTACTCTCCAGAGAGATGTGAGTAACATAAACCCACTATTTTGTAAAAAGAGAACATGAATGTTTGCTGGGTAAGATATTACCCACTATTAAAAAGGGGTCAAGTTTACCTAATTTGGGGAATAATTAACCCATTATTTTAAGTTTCACACAATATTGATACAAGCTTGTTTTAAAAAAAAGTGTTTAATTTTTAAGAAAATACGATGCAAAATTCACAATTCAGACTGAATGAAAGAACACTGAATGTCAATCGTACACCAAAAGGAATACAAAAATGGAGGGGTTGAAACAGAATAAAGTCATTCATTCATTATTAACAATAAAGGTTTATTCGAACATGTTTCGTAAAGACTAAACTAAACATGCTATACAAAGGTTGAAATACATTGTAAATGCATATTGCAATTGTGAACAAGATTATTGAATTAAATACTAAATTACATGAAATAATTTACATTGATAGACTGTAAATGAAACAGCAACATTTTCAGTCAAGTTTTTCTCTACAAGTCAAAAGAGAAGGAAATTCTATTCTATTTCAGGGGGATTTAATTCAATTCAATTAAATTCAATTCAATTTATTATTTGAGGGGAAACAGGCATTTTTTTTTACAAATAAAGAGCATTTTCTAACGACTTGTACAAAGTTACAAACTTATATCGCGAGCCTCGTTGAACGTATAAAGGTACAATCTGCAGTTTACATCATATCGATCGGGCAGGGTAGTTGATGATCAAAAATATCTCAAAAGAAATCACTCATCAAAAAGGTATTTAGGGCATACCAACACTCCCTGCGGTTCTTTTGAACATTTATTTTGATCTTATTAACAGCGGCATGATTACACATTTGGACTTAAATATCCACCGTGGCGTTATTATAACAATTCCGTCGATACTCTTGTAGATTTATCACAGGAATCTATACTTAAAGAACCTGCATGGTTCATTTCTAATTCGATCAAAAACACTTTGGATTACCAATGTCTCTACACGAGGATCTTCAGGAAATGATTTGCGTGGCTGATTGCCTCAAGTTTCTTTTTTAGGACATGGTTTCGTCATCACCTAAACAGTGAGCCGTCTCCTTCAAAATTAACCTATTCCGTGCCGACAGTGGGTAATATGTGCATACAATTGTGTAGACCGTGGTGAGACAAGGATAGGGTTAAAGGGAAATCGCATGGGTTCCCAGCGCTAAGTCGAACGTGAATCATTAAAGGCGTCACTCCACGCCTAGCCTGAGGCAAATCGACCTCTGGGCGTTCTGTACCAGTCACCTGGCTTGATTTACACACCTGAGTAGTCTTCCAGAAACTTATTGGCTTCAGGAACTCTTCCAGGCCCTATCTCTGAAGGACGACATGGTGATATAGCGTGGAAGGAATCCTTACGGAAGACAAAGAGTTAATGAGCTGCGCGCTAGACGTCTTGGAAAGCTCACCTGCGTCCTCTATAGGCGGGCTTAATTTCCGCTGGAGGACGCGGGGAAGAAAATGGAAAGAGTATGTTCCTGTTTGTTGCCGCCTGCTTTTCTTGACTGGGTTTATTGAATGGATTGTGGGCAAAGCAGCTGATTTCAACCATGTGGCAGAAAACTGCTTTGCATGATGACGTCACAGATGGGATAACATGTACGTTGAGGAAGCCATACAGTGACGGTAATGGCTGTTGACGCCAACATAGCACGCCAGCCCAAATTTAGCTTCACTGTCTATCTTTATCTTTCTTAACATCCTGGTACCTATCATCATCTAATCGTTCCCCTCTATGATTAACTTACAGCAACTCATTTTAAATCAGTGGTAGATGACTTAGAACCAGAACATTTCCAAGTAATCATGCGGGAAAAAAGTATTGTAATAATGTTTTATCCTCATTTTGTATTGTTCATGGGAGACAAAGGATGATCAGATTAACTTGAAGAGGCATCTACAATAATTAACTGAGTATATTTTCAAATCCATTTGCTTTCGTGAATGAATTATACTAAAATCTTTTGCGAGTTATCTTCTTTTCCTCCATGTTTTTTTTTTTTTTTTTTTTTTGCATGCTCAGTTTTGCAGTTACTGATATCTTGCTGAATCTAAAATTGCTTTTCTTCAGATCTTGACTTGAATATTTCTCTGAAAGGTCAAGGGCTGACGATATTTTAACTATTAACAACTTTGTTAAAAAAGAAACCAAAACACCTTGACGTACAGATACCGTATACACTATCTCGCCTAAGCCAGGGTTGTAGACTTCATAAACACCTGCTTTTCATCCCAATTGTCACAAATGCTGTCGATGAAATTGTTATTGGCTGGTAGGCATGTCGAAACAACAGAAAACGTTGTGATATAATCACTAGGGATTATTTTCATACATTAAACAAAAATGCAGATGTGTTCTACCTTACCTGAAGCACGCCCCCTCCAGTGTTTGTTGTGTCACGGTGTGTGAATGTACTTGGGAGTCCAATCAAATCAGCTGTGTAATAAAAGGCAAGAGCATCAAAATTATCGTACCCAAGTAGTAACGTATTCTTAAACCAGCATTAATACTACCGTTGATAAAATATAGATGTTAGAAAATGAGATATCTCTAGAAAAGATTAATCAGTATGTGATTTTAAAAAAATGATATCGGTTTTATTTATTCAGGGACGAAGACAAAATATCTATTTATAAAGCATTATCTTTGCAGGAGGCATGCATTGATCGTTATTTTTTCGAGTCATTTTGCCAAATATAATTCTTAGACCGCTCTGCCCCCTCCCCCTCTCTCTCTCTCTCTCTCTCCCTCTCTCTATATCTCTCTCTCTCTCTCGCTATCTCTCTCTCTCTCTCTCTCTGTTGTGTGTGTGTGTGTGTGTGTGCGCGCGTGTGCGTGTGTGTATGTGTATCTGCCTCCATACCTGTCCCCTCACTTTCTCTCACCCTCTCTCACTCTCTTCAGAATACTGTGAATGCAATGTTACACTCCATTGAAGATAAACAGGTTTTTAACTTTAAACCCTGAAAATGTCCTTATATCACCATCAAGGGAGCAATAGCGAACCCCTAGATGTGCATTTTCTACTCCTTTTGCACCCTTAAAGGGAGCCTTTTTCATGTCATTAAGCATCTACTTGGTTGTAAGAAACGCATCGTCTTAATGAGCACAATATGCTTTCCGGATCTGCTACTGGCACTTGTTGGGGTTAATTATTTTCTTAATGTTTATGATATTCGATTTAATGTTGTATATCTATGATGTGACCCAGAGATTATAGAAATCAAATTTTCGATCAGACTTGTGGATATCCTTTAAAAATTTGCGAGAATATTCACATTCTACAAAACATGAACCTTAAAAGAATTTAGGATGCGGTATCCTTGTATCGCCCTTACAGTGCAACTTATTGTACAACGACAGTGTATATACGTAGAAATGTAGGGGAAATGGTTATTAATTAAACGAAATGACATGCACTGAATGCTAATGTCCTAGAAGATTAATGCAGTGTGCCTAGAAATTGTTGCGTGCCTTGATGCGTTCCCCAGGAGTAGGGGGGAATGGTCGCCTTTTGGGGATCAGACCTTTTTAATTACATGTGTGGAGTAGAGTGCTGCAATCCATGGTGGCATAGGAGCGTGGAGAATCAATTGTCAGCATCATTGTGCGTGCTAGGACCATTTGACTATCTGAAGGATGATCTCCTCGGGGTTTGATATCCGATTTTAGGGATTCTTTTGACAAGCTAAAGGGATTTGTGGTATTAGGTGGTCGATCGTCGATTTTCATACCTCGTTTGGCTTGTTTGTTTGTTGTAGTTGTTTTGAGAGTGATAGGCATCTGATTTAATTTGGTACCAAATGTGTCGTGTTTTGTCCAATGATGTTGGGGAGGGGTCTGAGCTTGGGATGGCCTAATTCGTCTTCTTTGTATTGAGCGGATCTTTCAAGGTAGAGGGTAATTCTTACCTGCACTGCATATAATATATTTATTCTCATAATTTTTATTATTATTGTTGTTGTTATATGCTTTATATGCGTTATATGCTTTGCATTTTTCTCAATATGATTTTGTGATAACATCCTTTTTATTTTTTCTAGTTTTGTGTATTCCTTTTCATAAAAAGTGCCGCTTTACAACCCTATGATTTGTGGTTTAATAAAACGATCCTATATTGCGGATCGAAATACAAAAAATATCCTTTGACAAACCACCATAGAACAACTTACACGATTAATCGGACACAGCAAAAGAAATTAACTGACTGATCTCGCTTGATCCCTAATCCCCAATCATATTAAACGTATACATTATTATTATTATTACATGTACAGTTTGTAGAATGTAACTGGTAAAAATGTGTTATGTTTGCCCGATTTAATTCTTAGGTGTATATAAAGAATGAAAAATGTAACTGGAATGATCATGTGAACTATATCTCTACCCCTATTTCTCGCAATATTGGTATACTAATTAAGCTAAAATATTATTTCCCAACAAATGTGCTTAGTATGCTATATAATACACTGGTTTTACCATATATTTCTTACTGCAATATCATATGGGCTACTCATAAGTGCAATAGTAATCGTATATTAATGTTACAGAAAAAAGCAATTCGAGTTTGGGTTTCAATCCACCAACAAAATAAGTTCTCCACGTTTACCCGTCGTTACAAAACTCGATAATTTTCAGTACTCTTTACTTTTGTTTTGCTTCCATTCATTGAAACGTTAATTATAACCTTCCATGACCTGGTATGCATAAACGTATGAATAAAGAGTGGCCTACTTGGGATACTAAATAAACACTGTCTTGTATACAAACATTTCAAGGCTCCGACTCGCAGGCCTAGGTTTAAAACCAGCTGGCTGATCCCACATTCACATTCACATTGTCCGAATCTCGCGAGTCTTCTCATTCTATTATATCCCAAGTTGGCCACTCAATATTCAAATTTGCATTTTCTTTTTTGAAATCTTTATATATCAAATTGAAATCCAACTACCACATAAGTCTGTTAATATTGATGTGCATCCCCTCTTTCTTTCTTTTTTCTTCTTTTTTCTGTCTTTTCCCCCTTTACCAATATTGTGTTCCTCCATATTTGTAATTATGTATCCTTTGAGGGTAGTCATACTATCAAGCTTTGCTTAATTTGTCAACCCTCCTGTTTGATGTTTTCGATTAGTTACAGCCAGCCTTACTTTATTCTACATATATTTTGTTGTCATGTGTAAATTTGCAATATTTGTTTGTTATATATTTGTAAAAATACTAAAGAAAAAGAAAATCAAACAGAAATAAATAAATCAATCAAATCAAAATCAAATCAAATACACTGTAATTTTTAAATAATAAAATACAAACATTCTAGCATCGTGTTCATTATCTTTAGGAGGGTATATTATGAGTTCATACCACAAACATATTACTTCCTTTTCTACTTTTTTCAATTAATTCAAAATGTCAATGTCAAAAAATTCCAAGGTTATTCCTTAACTATGCAATTCCAAATGATGTCATATGTCCCATCCAGTAACCAATGCACAAGATTTAATTACTCGGAGATTTAGTCTAATTAGGGGATATGAATATGATATAATTATAGTTTGCTGTTTTGACTCGTTATACGGCGTTTCGCGTAATAAAGGTAAATTTTTGTTTGTAATAATTATGTTTGTGTATCACCATATTATTTGTTTAACGGGAGGTACGTCTTCAATTCATAATGTGTCATATATCATTAAAACAATTCTTATTTTGAGTTTTACAATAGATACAATGCCATTTACAAAAAGGTTGAATTCAATGCAACTATTCAAATGTTATTGTCGAATGAGCCTCATACAAGTTATGAACAGGATTAAAGATTAATACAGACTGCCTTGGCAGATATAGCTTTCCCTAACCGAATACTGCGGATGTTTTGATAATCGTTTAAAGATTGTTATTAAAAAAATGACTTTTGTTGGATTTGTTCACAAGACCTTTGCATGGCTTATTTCCGTATAACAAATTGTCTTATCATCATGCTGAAATACATAAATGTAAAAAATAATCATTTTAAGGAATAAAAGATCTCAAAATGGAGAACAAAATTTGAAATGACATAACACGATATCATTCTGCAGACTATATTGAGAAGGTCAGTGTATCACTTTTATACTTGAAGCGGGATGATACTCTAAATATCAAATCCATTCATTATAGCAATATGACACATGAAATATATCAATTTCCCCTTTCGAATATACCGATATTTACAGCTATGCCTAGACTTTCCCGCTCAAATAAGACAATAAATTTAGACGCAATTCAACGTCTGCTTCCAAATACCCATTACAACCCAAAGCAGGACCAGATGACAGACCATAAAATGTTATATACTGCTATCTGTCTCTCTTCTCCTCTCTCTATCTATCTTTCTCTCTCTCTCTCTCTCTCTATCGCTCTTTCTCTCCCTCTCTATTTCTCTCCCTCCCTCTTTCTCTCCCTCTCTCTTTCTCTCCCTCTCTCTTTCTCTCTCTCTCCCCTCTCTCTCTCTCCTCTCACGCATAACCCCACACACTTATATTTCAACTTCTCCTTTTTTCTCAAAATTTCCTTTTTAACTTCATCCCTCTATCATGATTTCTCTCTTTTTCCATCAAATTGTGCGCGTTCCCTCTCTCTCTCTCTCTCTCACTCTCTCCATATATCAATGTTTTTCATAAATACATCTCTTTCCCTAATCTTGTTATCTTCCTTTCGTCTTTATTCGTTGAAAATTTCACTTTTCCTCCACCCCCTCCTATTCCTCTTACTCTTGTTCATATCTTCTTCTCCCCCAATTTTTCTATCTCTCTTTCTCTTTCTCTATTAATATATCTATCTAACTATTTATCTATCTATCGGATGAGCCCTATCTCTCTCTACTTTTCCTCTCTCTATCTCGCCCCTACCCACTTCTTTCTTTCTTTCTCTCGCTCCCTTCTCTCTCTCTCTCTCTCTCTCTCTCTCTCCTGAAGATATCTACCAATGTGCAGTTTTCATGTTTTGAGTGGAAAGTGTTTTATAAGTGGGCTTCATTTTCTCTTTTTATTAGTGTGGGGGTAAAGTTAATGTTTGACGTCACTGTGATGATTTTTAGATCCGTTTCGAAGCATGGTTCAAATCTGGTGCTCAGAGCACGTTGTATGTGGGTAGTAGATGTGATACGTGGGTGGATGACGCCCGGTTGGGTGATGATAACGATCAAACTAGAACATGCACCCATGGAATGATATTAATGAGGTAAAGTCCTATTAAACTGACTAATATATGCAACCATTATGAACTAGTGAATACTATTTCTTGGCAATACTGTTTCTAGCCATATGATAATTATAGTCCTTAATCTGAATTAGTCTTTCACCGCGATAAAAATAAAAAAAATTGATGTTATTATTTACAACATAATCAGATTTGTAAGGCTAATCAAATTTAGTTTACAATAATTGCTGTGGTTTTGT